TGATTTAACGGCGAGTGATAATTACGTCCCTTTTCATCACAAACAGTAAAAAACGCACGAGAAAAGATTTTATTTATTTTAACTTATGTAACTTTAATGAAGTTGTGGTTTATGACATTTGCCTTTGAATAATTGTAATGAAGAGGGAGGGTAAAACTTGCTGGGTTTCTTGCCCGTTCTTCTCAGAACAGGGCCTCCTGGTAGTTTTGCGAACGGATGGCGAAGTCTTGCTCTTTCGCGAATTTTGTAAATGTTTTTGACATTCATAAGCATGCCCTAAGACGCATCTAAATTGATTAAACGTATTTTGATTGATTAATTGATTGCACAAGTTAAGATAGCATTTTATTTTATTAAAAAGGTTTACTAAATCTGGAATTAGTAGGCAGTGATGCCACCAGCTAAAGAATAAAATAAAGTAATTAAAGTTAATTCGATATATTGTTCGTGATATTGAAATATTTATTATTTTTGGATTTGGTCACTTGAATAAGTAAATATTTAGATTTACCTTTTTGTAGGTAAAACATAAAAATACGTTTTATTTTACGACATTTTATTTTTTATTTCCCTCAAATGGGTGAAATTTGTCCCTTTTTCGGTGGATAACTTTTTTAGTAGCAACACTAATGAAATGTCAGAATTCTACGGAATGAAAAATCGGAGTATAGCTGAGATCACAACAACTAATCTGTAATCACAGTGAAACAAATACTGCTTTTTTGGCAAAGTGCATGTAAATCTCTTGAGCAATAGACTAGTATAATTCTATCATCAGGTAACAAAAATGGCGGAAACATGCACAATGCTTAGGAATGGTTTAAAATAGTTACCTTCTGTTATTGTATAAAAATATTTGTTAACTGATTTTAACCAAACCTCTGTAGCCAAACCGAATTCGTGTTGTTTCACAGCCTTTTTAAAGTCTTGGTGGTAGGTATCCTCTGTCCTATTTTACCTCTTTGGTATAATTAAAATTCTTTTACCACGTTTTAATAATTTATATTTTTTCTAAATCTTTTAACGTCCTTAAAGTGTTAGGTGTGGTAAATGCCAAGATAGGACAGAGAAAATAACAATATAAGAGGCGGGAATGATGTCAATAAGCCTACATAATATGATGTCATTTTACAGTTAAAATAATAATTGAGGATCTGAATAGAACCATATGAAACTATTCATTGTAAAAGATCAGCGCACCTGCTTCGTTCATGATAAACATGCATTTGTTTACAGAAAACAGTTAACGATATTGCCAAATCTCCTGTTGGTTTATAAGATATCTATATGTGAACTGTATATGTATTTATTGTTATATACATATAGTTAATCAACAGAAAAACTGAGTTTACAACGTTTATATGGTTATATCCGATCCTCTTTCTTGTATTTAGTAAAGCTATGGGTCAAAAGTATTTTGAATGGATTTTAATAAACTTGAGATCGCTTTCCCTTTTCATAAAAATAAATACAGCATCATATTGTAAAGTTATTGTTTCAATAAAAAACAAAGCTACGTCATAATTTGTCGTAAATAATTCTGAAAATTCTGAAATACTTCTGACCCAGCTTTACGAAAATATATAACGTCGTAGGGCATTCAGTCTCAGGGAATGTATGGTGGTAAGTCTCTTAGTTGCCTTACAATACATCGCACGTTATAAACATTTTTTAAAATATTTAAAAGAAAACATTTATACGAGTACTTAGTACTACTTGAAGCGTTATACTTATTTTTTATTCGATTGATGTCTATCGTGTATTGTTTGTACACTATTTCAAGGCGTGTATCATTGTGCGTGACATCATTTTTGATCGCCTAGCACCTTGCATTCGATAGGAAAATTCTGCACTTGTAATAGTAACGCGTAAAATTAAAAGACACCATCTCTTCATTTCTTGAATGTAGCATTTTATTCATAAAACATGGAAATGGCTTACTTGGGTTATTGCGAGACAATATATCCGAATTTTTTGTCAAGAAAAGTATTTTCCAAACCTCATGGAACGGTAAAAGGCCTACCTCAGCCAGGAAAATTTTACGCGTTATCATCACAATTTTTTACAAAAACATGATTTGGGGACGGATCGGAGTATATCCAGAACAATGTTTACACAAGGTGCTTTTTACAATACAATTGTATGCAGTTCGATTACCTATATCGTCGATAAGTTAATTCAAGCGAAAGTTGAGATGACGATAACAATTCTTTTGCACATCAGGTTTCATTTTAACTTTAACACTTGGGTTTCAGTACAAATTTGTTTTTATTTTGGTTTATAATTGGTTTTCGAAAACTAATGAAATTCTTCTTCACGCAATCTTAGCTCCTGCAAAACCCTAACTTATCAACTCTCGAAATCCCTTTTATCGTTATTCTATACGTTCTTTAGTGGCAGATAACCGTATTTGATACAGTCAAGATTTCTTAAAACTATAGTGTTGATATTAGATTATAATATGTATCCGTAATACTTGGTTAGTTTGTGCTTCGTTGCCGCGGGCGCACGCGTCGATTGGCTATCCTTTTCACGACACGAGGAGAATAGAGAGATAAAAATAAGATAAATAAGATGAATTCGCTATAAAACTTAGATGTTTTTATAATTTAAATTTTGCTAATTACGTTAGAATTTTATAGAACGCATAGAGAAACTTAAGTTTAATTTAAACATAAGTTTGAAGAGATACCTCCAAGTGTCGTTAAAGTTTAGCCTGTATTTACAAAGCCCTACAATTTGACTAGATGTTTTGTCGTACTTCGCAACGCCAATGTTGATATTTACAAATAGACGGCTTTATTATTTACAGATTTAAATGAATTACGTTTGTCGTCCAACAACATTTGTATTACAAATATCTCTTTCTAAATTCATCAAAGTTAAATATAAATATTTCGCAAAAGTTAGGTATATTAGATAAAAACGTCCATTAATATTTCAAATAAAATGTTTGAAAAGAATTCGTTTTAATGAGTTTGGTGAAAATATTTACCTTTTCGTTCTGTATCAAAATATGTAATACTGGTGCGGTTACTGATACACGCTGTTTCATTTCTAATCTATTTTAAAAACGTAACTTTCCTCGTAACTAAATCGAGATAAAAGATTTTTAAGAAGCTTTTTGTAATACAAAATGTCTGAATCGCATACTGATCTTAACATATGGATAACATTTATGCGATATCATTGACGCGCGAAGCAATCATTAACATTCTCTAAGATATTGACTCGTCTACGCGATAAATTCGTGATGTGAGATGTTGCCAGTAAACATATCATTCGGCGTTTCTCAATATTTCCTATACATATTATAGAACACTAAAGAAATATTTGTATCTGTATTCACAAAATGAAGCGTGTTTTGCGTCAATGAATTTATTAGTTATTATTTAAAAACGTAATAAAATTCAAAACCACAATATGTACAGGATATACTAGCATATTTATCTATCTGTTGTACAAATATAAATTAAAAATGGCGCCACTTTGTGAATACAGATTATAAACCGGTTTGACAATTGACATGAAATTGCAAATTTGCCTAAAGTGCAAAACCTTTGTGATATATAAAGGATCTTCTAAGCTATTATACAGGCATATATAAATTGCATCTAATGGCTCGTTACTTTTTAAATCCTATCAATAACGAACAATTTATCGAAAGCTTATATTGAATTCAATCCGTTATTGGTACAAACGAATGTAGGAACACTAAGTGCTTTAATTAATGTTGAAAATGTTTTATTTCAAATCAGGAACTTTGTAGAAATAATGTTTTGAGTTTAGGCCTATCAAGTATTGGTTTTAAAACATATTGGTAACCTAATACTCCGTTGACTATATATTTTTCACGAATTTTTTTTATTTTTTTATTTAAATCTAACCGACACCCTTGTAATACACTAAAACGCTTTAAAAATTAAAATTTAAAGGTGTACGTACAACAAAACCCCTAAAATAGCTAATTTTACAAATTTCCCAATACAAAGTATATTTGCTATGTTTATGTTTATTAACTCATTCTACTATGCGTGTAAATATGCTATTGCAATAGCTTAAGGATCATATGTATTTTATTTGAAATATTGTAGTAGAACAATATAAAAGTTGTACTACGGGATTTTCGTTATACGCACGTTAAATAGCTATAGTTTACACCAATTCAACATATCACGATATATACGCATATTAACGATTATACTTTAAAAAAAACATTAAGCTTTATAACACCGGCGTTATCTACAAGTCACAATCTGACAAGCACTGTCAAATGTCAAACCTTGATAGAAAAATAGTTTGACAGATCGTAAAACTCGACGTCCTTTTAGCATTTGGTACACGGAAACTCAAGCTCTGTATACTTGTTCCTATTTCACAAAATTACCGTTTTTATAACAAAGTATATAGCAAATAATTTAAAAATACATAATTCTATAAACACTTAATAGTGTACATTCAAGTTGCAGAAGTTAGCTAATACTTCTGATGTCATCGAATCAATTAAATATACTTTTGACGTGTATGGTATTTTAATATCGCTGTCTCTTAGTTTTGGCGCGAGACGTCAACTCTTAAAATTTAACATTTAGATTTGTTTTAAAATTTATATATTGTAGTTTTGATTTGATCTTAAGGTTGGGTGTGTCCTGAAAAAAACATTTATTTTATTTAACCGCATTTAATTAATTGAAGTAGACTACACTTTATCTTGAAAGAATTATGTTAAATTAATTCATATTTTTCATATATATAGACTATGTCTAGATATAAAATTTTAACTAATTCTACTTAGGACCCTTCAAGAAAAGATTGTACCAACTCATAAAAAGCCGGCAACGCACTTGAGTGCCCATGGGCGGCAGAATGACTTATCATCTGATGAGCCACTTGCCCCTTAGTAGTCGTAGTAATTACCTGTATACTTTTGAATTCATAATTTTTAGGGGAAAATTTCATGGCTTTAAGCAATCCCTATCTGATCTGTATACTCACTGTATTTATATGGAGGTTTCACGCATGTAGTAATCAGCCCGATCTTTGGAAGTAGCATTGAGCTTGAGTGCTGGCGGCAAAGCCTCATATGTTGTTGGCGCCCATTTAAATTGTGTATGCTCATTGATTTTCTAAAAAAAAAAATGTGTGCGTGTACTAGGTGGTACACACGTAAGAAGTGAAACTTCTTTATGATCTTATTTTTCGAAAAATGATCTACTATATGCAACTTTACAGAAATTGGTTAAATAAAGTTTAACAAAAGGCTTTTATTATCATAGACATGAATACAAATACAATTATTTCATTTTACCTTATTACTACTAAGATTATTACAGAATTTCATTAATTGTAATAGAATTATTACTATCATTGTTATCGTTATTATATATTTTTGTTATTAATGGCTTCGAATCTCTTCGGATCAACCGTGGTAGGGACAAGAAAAAGATGGCGCGTAACCGATAAATGTGACGGTAATTTTTTTTCCAACGCCGATAAAGAAGTTTGACTTCAAAAAGCAACATGGCGCGTAACCGAAAAACGTGACGATTTGCTACAAAATTTTTCCCATACGTCGATAAAGAAGTTTCACTTCAAAAATCGTAACACTATTAAATACGCAAAAAAATGTAACTACCTACTATTAAGTCTGAGCCATAGCAGACCACGAGCTTGAGAAAAATTCACAATTATCGAATTTGTTTGAAACAGGTCACGTGACAAAGCGCGAGCTAATGTAATTTCCCCTCAACTTCACAAATGTTTATTAGCATAGTATACAATAATTCTTAGCCAATATTAGACAAAGAATTTCGGGACAACCTTTGAAGGGTTATGTAAGAGAAACAGTGTATTTATATATTTTCTTTGGAGTTTCGAACCGATTTTTTTCTCGGACATAATGGGTATTGCATAGACAAGTGGATATCCTAAAGGATGGTTCTCACAAGCCAATACATACCTCAATATATTGAGCTTCCAAGATATCCAAGTCGTCATTTGCTAAAACTCTTAGTATGCGATTATCACCCGTACCGAAGTGGTTCTGCTGGCTGTACACTGCTGATAATTCAAGGCGTTCCAACGAGCTGCGCAGGCGCACAATACCCAGCACGTCGTATTGCCAGAGCCAGTAGCCTATAAAAATGTAGATTGAAGGTTCAATATCTGTTCTCCTTATTCAATATGACATAAACAAACAATTAAAACAAATTTATTAGCACTTTGCATAAATTTTTGAAACATTGAAAAATTGTCTCCGTCTTGGACACGTATGCGTAATTTACGTTCGTGTACGTGTTATTTTACCAACCTATATCTAAAATGTATCAAGAAATAGACATAATTAAAAAATGCCTAATACGTGACCATAGATATCCATAGATTTTTTTCCTAACAAAGTTATTGAAACAACTTACCATGAATAACGAGTCTACGTAGTTGTACACACTGCCAGCACATCAGTAGAATGTGATTCACGCAAACATCGTACTGAAATTGTATAGTATAACACTTAATTTATATCCCAATAACACATAACAGGAGAATAATAAAATAAAAAAAGACAAACTATGTAAATGGATTTCTTCCAGGTATATATATATTTTTGTAATGATAAACTTTATCACAAAGAAATTTTGTTCTAAGACAAATTGTATTATAGGCACAGAACGCGAGAAAAATTACTAAGTTACACGTGAATATTTGACATTGACTTCAACTCATTCGGATTAATACAAAAACTTATACTTTACTTCCTTTAAAAATCGACCATCACTCTAATCTTAATATATATAAATTACGTGTCACGTTGTTTGTCCGCTATGGACTCATAAACTACCGAAACCGATATCAATCAAATTTGCACACCGTGTGCAGTTTGATCCAACTTAAAAGATAGGATAGCTTACATCTCAATTTATACCCGCAATATTATTTTATTGCAAAATATTTGTTTATTATTTGACACAATTCTAACAGATGGCGCTGTGTTGAAAGTACCAACGTTTCACATAAGTTACATTTTAGTGGCATAACCACCAAAGAAGCATGGTGGTCCCCATGACTGGTGTTCTTCTACCGTTTCCCTTGAATAGTTTACTACTATGTAATATAACAAAAACCTTAGCCACAGCAACGCTTGGCAGAGTCTGCTAGTTGATTATATTTTCAAATGTCACGCCAATACATACCGGTTCAGGCTTGACAACCCTGTAAAATGGCGTGGTAGACATGCAGGGGGCGTCCACCCACACAAACTCTTGCAGCGTGGACTTATACAAACGAGACAAGTGCGATAACAGTGGCACATGGAACTGTAAAATATATTATTTATAAATCATGTACTAATTATTAGTACCTCAACCCTGAGGTTGTGAGCTACATTTCTACATGCACTTGCTGTTAAGATGACGTTATTTTGAGGAAACTAAGGCAGGCCCTAAAGCTACGGCTTCCTAGAAAAGCGGTTCTGTTGCTTTAGACCGAAATATCGTCTACACGAGGAAAAGAAGTTTGATCACCTACTTTAAAGATAATGATCATAGAAACAAATGTAATCTGAGGGCTATCCCAGATAGGGTTGTAACGCTACTGGATTATTATTATTACAAGTATACTTGTTAGTTTTACCTAAGGAATATAGGTAAATAAGGGAGTAAGATCAATGTGGACAAAGTGTGTAGTAATCCAAGTAATAAATCACAAATCATATAAAAATACTTCTCGTACTGTCGTGTCTTAAATTCAAAATGCTTAGTACGAAAGTCCTACATTTGATTCCCAGGAACATAATCATTGTTTCGGTTTAGAAGGCACATGGCCTTAAATTGCTTATTATAAAAGCCGCAATTCTTTATACTGTAATAGCAGGAAATAAAGCAATATTTAGCTAGAAATAAACGTTTTTGTAACTACAAAGCTACTATTAAAACTATTATAACTCACAGTTTTACAGAACATGACTTTCAGTGAAACCAGGAGTAGCCCACGAACAAATACATGTTCTATAATATCGTTGAAGCGGTGCAATGGTACCGCAATCTGAAATATATGAGGTAGATACTATTAAAAAATGCACTGCAATGCACTATGTATGCAAAATATCACAAGTGTATTGTCCATATCGGAAACCAAAAATAATATCAAGATAACTTTTTTTTTAATGGCTCCGATACGATTTGTTCATTAGCCAGCGTCAAGTATAGGATTTTTTATAATTCGTGTTTGTCTTTGGAAATTCGACCATGTCCTCCATGTACGGTTTAAGCACTCACTCGGTACCGCACAACCCTCCCAAAGGCCGAGAACAAATTTTAAATTAAATTAAAACTTGCCCTCGAACCGGGAATCGAACCCGGTACCCCTCACCTAGCTGCCACTTAATAAGACCGCTAGGCTATGAGGCCCCTAGATAACCTTTTAAATGGAGGTTGTCATTGAAATCAAGTATATTCCAACCTAGGAAACAGTCCAATAGTAGGTTCAGTGTAAATTAAAATGAATTTGGTGATTAGCCTTTATTCATTAAGACTTAGTCCTATTACACTTAAAGTACGCATTCGTCTCTTTCTCTCGATTGTGTTTCTTTTGTGGTGGAAAAAGACAAAACAGTGTATTTAGTTTTTATGAAAAAGGAGGTTTTGTTATTACGGGAATACTTTACAACACACTTTACTATTTTTCACTTTTATTTTACGTATTTTGACAAACATACTTACAACGTTAATAGCGACGTTCAATGTCTCGGGCGGCCATTCGAATCTCGGCAACGACAGAGGGCGCTTGTGTCCGATGTTCAAAGTGAGCAGCGACAATGCCGGTAGACGACTCAGTGTGTTTACGGTAGCTGAGCTTAAGTACTCGTAGTCTATCACGATGGACTGTGGACGGGGGTTTATATTAACCTGTCTTATCCTGGCAACATTTCGTGGATAAAATGCATGTAATTTTGCTTTATCTAACTATATATTTACTAGTAGAGATAGACATAGAGGCGTAATACAGATATGTATTAGCTACATTAGCGTACGCCATTCGGTGTGCAGCTCTATGCAGTATTGGAGCTATAAGCTAGGAAAACGATAATTTTAATAAATAAATTTCTTTTTTAAAAATTTCGAAATAAAATATTGAAATAATATAGTTTTGCACCACGCATTTTTAAATATCGATAATTTTTGTTTTCATATTGATAAATAACCAGTGTTTAATCCTTTTTTATAAATTAGATGACAAAAGGAGATATATTGATACTTATTTTTTTTTAAATAAATTTTGGGTGTTTAATTTGGGAAAAAAAACATGGTAACAGATTTTTTTTCACTTTTGTAGAATACATATTATGGTATATGGGGATTTAAATTATCACAAATAGTCACCCCCACCCTGCTAACGGGAATACGTCAAATTACAAATAACCCTGTATTTCTATTTAATTTATCCATTTTAGATTTTATTCGGATAACATTGTTTCAATGACGAAATATTGTATCGATATTCAGTTCTCTATAGAACAGAAAATGGTTCATATGTTAAGAATGGTTTATTAAATGAAAGTTAATCGTTTTAAAATATCTTTTTTTTTCATATTGAATCTGAAAATTTATAATTATTACAAATTGTTATCGTAATTGAAAAAGTTCGCGATTGTGCAATTCCAACTTCAAATAAATAATATATTATGCCCGCCGATAGAAAGGGCCTTAGTCAAGTCAACTTTTCGACACGAACTATAATTTCCATACAAATTAAGTTTTCGACTTTCTACATACACTACTGTTAAGGCATCTTGACTAAGGCCCAGGATTATTGAATATATTAAGGTGTCAAATATAATCTGTTAAATTGGCCCCACTGTAGTCTATGATCAAAATATATAACATTACCTGTAGCTTAGAGAACATCATCAATCCCACGTTGCTCCTAGATAGTATGGTGTCATCCAGGCAACGCTTAGTGCTGAACGTCAGCGGCCGCGAATAATACTCCACATTCTTGTGCTAAACAGAATATTACATTTTAATTTTCATTGTTTCATTTTATACGTCCATAACTTATAGAAGTTAAACATGTAGATAACGTTTAAGATTATTGTGAATAATCCATGTTTTTTTTTTCAAAGAGACCGTATATCCTATTGTGTCCAATGTTCTAACATTTCATCGCTAGAAATATATAATTTTTTTAAATCTTAGATCAAGACCAATTCAATACTAGATTTGTATTTAATGCGGAATCAAATTTAAAAAAAATCCACGTAATGCGTTTTCTCGACTTATGTAGGTCTTATATTTAAGATAATTCGCAAAGGTATTATGTAACAGAACAAGACTTACTACATATCTATCATTTTCATTTTTAGGTGTTGCCATCTCACAGCCTGTTAAAAGAAGCCTCTGTAGACTATGTAGGTTCTTGAAGACGAGAGTCTCCACTATTATTCTGAAAAGAATATTAGAAGCAAATTATTAGATACAGTACTAGCTGCCTCCGCGAACTTCGTTTCTCTTTAATGTGATTTTACTAAGCCTACCATTTTAGTACCTACCAACATGGAACATTTTGCTATGCTACCCCAGAGACTGTTCGGTTTTTTGGAATGAAATTTTGTTAGGTTTTTCTGTGAATTTTTCTCTATCTAAACCTCAGAGTTCAAGTCATAAGATTTTAATTAACAAATAAAAAATAGGGGTTGATTGTAGAGGGGTGAAAATTAATGATTGTATGTATATTTGTATGCTGTATCATAAAAAGAAAACAAAAATTTTTGTCTAATAAATAAAAAGAAAATTTTTGGGGTGAACACTCCTTAACACTTAGCGGTTTGAAAGAGAGATAGTAGCCGATTGTCAGATTTACTGAATATGCATAAAAAATTCATAAGAATCGGTCGAGCCGTTTCGGAGGAGTATGGGAACGAACATTGTGACACGAGAATTTTATATATTATATAGAGATATATTTGTTATAATTATATGCCAAGCAATGTATTTTTATATCTTCAATTTCGACTATAAAATCTTCATATTTTCACTTATGTCATAAATACATAAGAACAAAACATGCACGTAGAGAGACATTTAAGACATGATGACATAAGATGGAACACCTACCTTTGCAGTTGTGGTATTGGCACATTTGGATTCTTAAGAATGTAACTTGGACCGAGGAATGCCAGTTCGTTTAGATTTATTGTTTCGAAGTATCTGAAAACAAAATCTCGAATTAAAGTCTTTCTTCAATATAGCAAAAAAAGCTTAGAAGATTTAGCCTGAATTATTTTAACTTGGAATATAACTTGTATCCTATATATATAAATATATATATAAGGTTCAATATAGGAATGGATACATTGTACACAATAGTTACACGAGTCCAATAGAAAACTAAAGCTTATACTTTTTATTTATATATATTGTACCTATTGTTATTACACTCAAGCTAACATAGATTACACTCACACAAGCATAAGTAACTTCTCATATATTTTATTTATGTATCCCTTTATATATAAAAGGGATAGGAAGTACATAGGAATGTTCCTATCCATATATCCTCAATGGTCTCACTGGAAATCAGTGCTGCGGTCGCAAGGCTTGCCCGAGTGTCCACAGCGAGGGTACAGATACCGGCAAACATCTTGAACAAATGTCCTTGCCTGCGCAGAAGCGATTTTTAGGTATCACTGGAAGGGGGAACGGCGGGAGAGTGACGTGTCGATCGCGTGATTGGTAAATCAGTTGACGTTTGTGTCCCACGCTGCGATACGATGCGCAAACTTTCCCACACTCCCCTATTTTTATCTTGCAAAAACGTGCTATTAGGTCAATTTATTGCTTGAAACCAGGCACTTCACTTAGAAATTTGTTCAAGGAAATCGACATTTTGACGGTACCTTCCCAATATATTTACAACTGTATCGTTTTTGTGCGTAGTAATATTAGTTCTCTTTTAAAGAACAGCGACATTCACAATAGGAATACAAGAAATAAGGGAAAACTTTTCCAGCCGTCTTACAGGTTGCAGAAAATAAATACTTCATTTATGGGCCTAAGTATACGCTGCTATAACATGATTCCTAGTGAAATATTGGAACTGCCTTTAAACAGATTCAAAACACACATCAAAAAAACCTTAATGTGTAAAGGTTACTACACAGTCAATGACTACCTGGAAGATAAAAACGCTTGGCAATAGTTCTAATTATATTCTTATAATTTGATTTGTTATCTTTGAAGTGTTATGAATATGTGTGTAATGGTGAATGTGGTAAATCACAGAACAGATTTTTTATTTTTTTTTACTTATGTAATTTTAATGACGTTGTGGTTTATGACATTTTCCTTTGAATAATTGTAATGTAAAGGGAGGGCAAACTTGCTGAGTTTCTTGCCCGTTCTTCTCAGAACAAGGCCTCCTGGTAGTTTTGCGAACGGATGGCGTAGTCTTGCTCTTTCGTGAATTTTGTAAACGTTGTTGACATTCATAAGCATGCTCTAAGAAGCATCTAAATTGAATAAACGTATTTTGATGTGATTTGATTTGAATGCTCAAGAAGTTTGCCGGTATCTGTACTGAATGAGGCCAAATTATCACTGTGTACTTCTATATCTTTTTTTTCGTTATATTGAGTTTGATGTTTCTTTCTTAACGTGTAAATTTGTTAATAAATGTTTACATCTTTCTGATTTGATTGAGTTTCCCTGACATCGACAAATATATAGAAAAAAAATAAAATGCGTGTTGAAAAGGAAGTATTAATCAGTCTTGTTTATATGGCTGACTTCCGCATAAGCAACTTTTTGTGTACATAAACTAAACTGTCGTTATACTGATGTGAAATTCAGCGTATCACTTCTTGGTATAGATTAAATTGTGGGACAAATTTTTTATCATTACCATTCCAATGAATTCGGCTAAGACTATTTATAAACAGCCATATTCAGATCGTCTATTAAGTATTAACGGTTATCTAAGTATTATTTTTAATACATAAGACCCCTTTATAATAGGTGTGGTGGGCTTGGCGTCTCCCGCCGGGCCCGGGCACAACTACTCCGGAAATATCCTTATGATATTTAAGGGCGAGTCCAAGCCCGCTGGCCGGCAGGACCCGCGTTATCTCTTGTGCATATGTTCTAATCAAATGAGTTATAAACAAGTGTTTATAGAAATTATGGTAGTTCAATGTATGTATATCATTTTTGCACGTACAATATTTTACATCTTACACAATCGTTTATGTTATGAATTGAACGGATAGTAGCAATATAAACAAGCAATCGAAAGGTAAATGTTTTTGTATGCTTTCTTTTATCGGTAACTGCACTATGGCCAGCATCGCCATGAAACTTCATTATCACATATTTTATTGTCAAACATAGAAATTGAAAGTAATCACCATAATTGGTATTTAAGTAACATCATTAATGTCATTATTTTGTTTCTATCAAAACGTTTAATAGATTTTACCTCAACTATCATAGACAATTAGAAAAGTATTTGAATGTAGCGTCATAGTCTAGTTTAGCTACCAGTGAAAGTGCCGCCAACCTCATAGCCTAGCGGCCTTATTAAGTGGCAGCTAGGTGAGCGGTACCGATTCCCGGTTCGAGGGCAAGTTTTAATTTAATTTAAAATTTGTTCTCGGCCTTTGAGAGGGTTGTGCGGTACCGGGCGAGTGCTTAAACCGTACATAGAGGACACGGTCGAATTTCTAAAGACAAGCACGAATTATAAAAAGTCCTATACTTGACGCTGGCTAATGCACAAATCGTGCCAGAGCCATAAAAAAAAAAAAAAAAGTGCCGCCAAGGGTATCGACATTACGTGTTTTGTTACATCGAGATCATATATCTTGAGGCGTAAAGGTACATCCTTACAAGAGTAGGTTTCATTGCTATTTGAACTTTGAAGGCTATTTCGTCTGCACAATATGTTTACGGTAGTGTGATTAAATAGAGGATTTTTAAAAATTCCGTCAATGATATAGTTACTCGACATTTATTTAATCAGGAAACAAATATATAGCCTATGTTACTCAGGTATAATGAAATCGGTCTATCAGTAGTATTTTAATTTATTATTATGGAAAGTTATGATATAGAGAGATTATGGTAAGATAATATAATATTAGATTTAAGTGATTAAAGTTTTATTTAAATTTGCAACGTATTTATAAGTTTGGAACGCGTCGTAAGATTTTACATATACGAATATAAATTATAGCCACAAAATGCTTTCTTTACACATTAAGTAGATAAACCAATATTGGTTTTATTAGACACGTTTAAAGTACATTATGAAACGACGTAAGCATGATTAACCGTAACAATGTTACGACATAATATTATGGTTATGTGCTCGAAAGTGAATTTATTCAAATATATGTACATACTTGGGAAGTGTATGTTAGAATTCATATGTAAAGCGGGTCATAAGATAAGTATTTCCGGTATAAAAAAATTCTATTACTATTTACAACTGGAAACCTATGTGGTGAATGTAGGTAAAGTTTATCGTTAAAATTTTAGACAATCGAATATGATAGCCACCTACACATACATATCTTTACCTTAAACAAAGTATTAGCATATTCGACAAAACATATATTCCCATTTAATAAGAACCTTAACTCGACTTTCTCTTTTAAAAGAAATAGATTTCTACCGCATTTTTGATCGAAGTTTTATCCATTTGAAATTTTCATCGATCTTGGTTGTTGCATTTAACAGAGAATATTTAATTTGAAAAATACAATACTCATATGGAGATATTTACAAAACATTACGAATATATGCAGCTCCGCAACTCCTATGTGAAACATCTATATAAAAATGATCAATCGAAAGCAATGTCTCGATGGACATCGATGTATAAGCTGGACCTCCGAGTAATAAGTCAATTGCGTTAATCACTGAGACACGTAAGCAGTTAACATAACGATAATCTGTTGTACAAGTAATATGTTATATAGTATATTAAAAATAATGCTTATAAAACAAGCCTTTGTATTAGATAAACAGTGTCGCTTTTAATCGTATCTTAGTAATCGCGTTATCGTCAATGAGCCTATTTGTAATACTATTACATCACTGTTGCTGTTTTTGATTGCTCCAACACTCCATGTAATTGAAATTTTCTATTTTTTTTTCAATAATATTTCATAACTGCTTGACAAGCACCCATTTTTGACACGCTTATGGAAGATGAATCCGTAGTGCTCAAACCCAACCCACGTTACAAATATTTACATATTATATTTTACTTCGTTGATCATTCTAGGTCTCGTTATGATCTAATCAATACAAGAGAATCCTGTGCGGGGATACAATTCGATCGATTGCGCTCGGCCTAAATAAAGCTACAAGCCTGGGAAAGTTCAAGGTCATCTGCTCGTCGTACCGTTCTGCAGATATATAATCTGCAGAACTATAAAATGGTTGAATAAAAATCTGTCTAACAATAGTAAGATAATATTTTGTGTAAAATAAGTCACTTGTAAAAGCATCGAAAAACACGAAATTTTATTCGACGACGTAATACTTAATGGATGATTGACACAACATATTCGGCAACTCAAATACTTGCTGTTGTAACTTTTTACAAAGGATAACAATTTATTTTTCCGCGTTTCTAAGTTTTTGTTACAAAAAAATTATAGGGTATGAAACTGTTTAGTAATTCTTTTGATTTAGTATTATCACCATATTTCGTATTTAAGATGAATGTGGGAACAAGTACAGAACCTTTACATCCAACATAACAATTACCAACTTCTAAGTAAGACAAGTACAAGTTTGATTTGGTAATAGAATGTTATTTTGTAATGCTTAAGGCTTGTGGACAATTAGCTTTGCTTATTATTCTGCGCTGGCTACTGTGCAAATTTCTAGTAATATTAGGAAAAGTAAAAGAAAAATATAAATACTTACAATGGCAAAATATAGTTCATAAAGGACACCAATTCTTCTACAACTGTTGTGTCAATGTAAATGTGCAAGTGTTTAGTGTACTTTTTAAATATACGAGTCAGGAACATGCTCTTCTCTATGTTCTTTACACTTAATTTAATTACGTCTCTGCAAAAAAAATATGGGCATAAAACACATAGATATTGAAAGATTTTTTAAGCAAAAATAATTATGAGTAAGGCGCTTAAGTTTTTGTGACTTTGAAAAATGTATTCTTATTTAAAATTTATTGTTTTGATCATGTTTTTTTCTTCAAATCATCAGGAACAGCTTATTAAGGCAGAATATGTAACATGTCTTACTTGCGTCCTTCATATAATTGTATGGCACTGCGCCAGTGTTGGCAAGTTGATGTGGCTGCAAGTGCATCGTTTGCACTCAGGTGTTCAAGGATACACCTCAGTGGAAGGATAGGCAGGTTAGCCCAACCTACAGACATCTATAAAAAACACTCAGCTATTATAAAATTTATAAGCATACATAAAAAGTAACATAATTCAATACAATTTGTGTGTATTTCTTATATTTTTTAATAGATTTTTTGTTTTACTTTGGAATGTTTTCCCTTGAGGTGGAAATTAAGGGCAATATTGAAATGAAATATTTTCCGCTCATGATAAATCGATCTACCGTTAAACATTCCATGACCTTCGTTATTATTCCACATTTACATAAAGCGTCAGTATACGTACGCATATAAGCAAATAATAACAAGTGACGACACAGCTGGTTTGCGGGAAAAAGGTGTGACGGTATAACAGCTGTTTTCGAGAAAGTAGGCTAGCCCTTCATACAAGAAACTGCGCATATTCCCTAAACGCCTATATTTTCGATGAAAGTTCTTCTTATATGTTCTATTGCAATATTTCTAGGGAATACTTAAAAAGATATTATAATTTAACACAACGAAGAATGTATAACAATTAAAAATAAAAAATAACTCACCTTTTCCTCTAAATATTTTTCTTATAAGATTATTAGATTTTATTTCTTTGCTATTAAAAACTTGGCTATTTTGACTAACGCTTAAACAACTTTAGTAATAAAATTATTACACGTCCATTATCTCTTTTATTATCGTGTAAAATAATGAAAGGATGAAATAAATCACATCATTACCACATAAAACTTTGACATGAACTATAGTTTCAATTTTCTATTTGGTCGTTGACTGTTGAGTGTGTCTGGATTACACAAAAAGCTTGACAGTGACTGGTCTAATAAAATTGGTGACAGATATCATATTAAAATTGTCTATGGCTTGGTATAAAATGAAAATATCTTAGTCAAACTATTCATAGATGAGATATGGCGTACGGCAGAGGTGTTTATGTAAAAATGTTTACATAAACACCTCTGCTTTACAGTTATGAAGGGTAGGTATGTACTTTTTCCTAATTATTTGTTGATTGCTTTAATTTCTCATAGGTTTATTATATATACTCATTATTGAAACCAACGACGCAAACTTAGGATTAAATTCATATTTTATAATCAAAACTTTAGTTTTTGATTTCTTTAAACATAATTTAATTGTTTCACTGATGTTTAAATACTATAGAACATGCTCGGAAACACAACAGGGCGTCTAGCTATACTACTACCGAAAAGTATTCTACATACACTACCGCTTTTGCGTCATTATTGACGAAAACGCTTCGACCGCAAAGTCGACAGCGTAGCTCCGAGATGCTGTTAGTACAACATTATTTCGTCATATTGTCCCTGGATTAAACGTATTCCCAATGTCACATTTATAAACCTAATAAAAGTCAAAACTACACAATTTATTTAAAAAAAAATAGCAAGTAGCAAAATGGACATTTAAAGAATGCGAGCAAGATCGGAACAGTTTTTTATTTTAGTGGAATTTATGGAAAGGAAAGTGGCGTAATATATTAAATTTAATTAAATGTTAAGGATAAAACTTGATATCTTGTTTGAAAAAACTTGGGCAAAAACTACAACTCTAAACTTGAAAAATATTAACTCTACTTTAGATCATTATAATTTTACGAGAACGTTTAAAACAGCAAGATGAAATTAAAAATTCAATTATTTAATAAGATTAAAAAAACTTTTCGTTAAAACATCCAAAATATTACATGTATTTAAAACGGTAGCCATTTAAGTTGGTGATAGCGGTCCCCGAATTATATTTCTATAATTTGGGGACCGCTATCACAGCAGCTTTTGAAATCACGCAAAAACATGGCGGATAAACGCTGTATTTTCTACACTGCCGAAACATTAATTGGCCGTTGACTACCGAAAAGCGTGAGCGTTAATGTGTATCTTTTCGTTGCACTGTCATGGCGTCGCTTATTATATCCCGACTCACGCCTTTTGGGCCTAGACTACCGACTGTCTACACGAGCTACCATTTTTACAATTTTACATACAAATTTAGTTTTCGACTTTCTACATACACTACTGTTAAGGCATCTTGTCTAAGCCCCCAGCTCTAGAATTCGGTTCCATCTCTTTCCTTCATAGATTTCCTTCCACTACGGGGCTGACAGGTTTACTACTACTTTTTTGGCTGAATTGGACCTTTTTTACACGCTTTATATTAGCTTCACCTGTATGTATGTATGTATGTAACCGACTCCTTCGGACTCGATTTTGACCCACTTTAAACGGACAGATTTAATTCAAACTTTGTACACTTATAAAGAATCAGCGACAATATAATAATTTCATAGGTTTATCTCGAAAAAACAATGAATTTTTTTTTAAGTCCACAAAGCAATACTATTAAATTGTGACAACACGTATTGCTGCTAGGACTAAAAAGTGGAAAATAAATATAGTTTAAAAAAACTATAAAACACGCTTTTAAAGCACATCAAACTAAAAAGTGAAATAATTCCTAATTTAGGCTGAAAATGGTAATGAACAAAAAATAATACTGGTATTATTGTGAAAAAGCGTGGGGCCAGGGGCGCTCTGTGCCATATTTTTCGTCTATCGAGCAACCCACGCTTTTTCACAATAATACCAGTATTTTTTTTGTTTAAATTTTACTCACTATGAATAAAACTCTATTATAAAATAATTCAATATTTTTTGTAAATAATATTATTAAACATCCGCAGCGTGCATCGTCATAGCTATAATCTATATATTTTATTAATGGCAACTAACTTAGTAGCGGCTAAAATTCTATGGCCTAAAAATCAATTTTGACAGTTTGCTTCAAGTTCACAGTTCTTAGTTACGTTTTAAAAAATTAAAAATAAAAGCTTAATTTAAATTTTATAACTAGATAAAGATGTAACTATAACAACTTGCAGAACAAAGAAAAACTTGTAGTCATTTTTTTGTTAGCTTTAAAGCATTATTTTTAGGTTGTTAGTCCGGTCTGGCTTAATTTTCTTTTTATTAGCTATTATAATCGATGATGTAAGATCATTGAAGGTCTACTACAGTGCGATCATAGTTAATCATCGTTTTCGTGATTTCATAATGGAAAGTGACAATAAGGCTTCTGGAAATTACGATAAATATGAAAACGAAAGCAGTTCTCATTCGACACCAGGCGAACATAAGTCTTTTGCTGAATTTGCAAAAGATAAGCTGGATAGTGGTAATTTCACGTTTTATTTTTTTACTCTTTTAATTTAATTTAAAGGTCTTCTTCATTCATGTATTCTACGCAAAAATAAGTACACCTTTGTAACTGTGTCGCATTTTTAGAGAAGTTATTGGTTTTAAACAAATTGTGTTTTATTTTAAAGGAAATTTAACATACTTTTATTTTAACTATTACTTTTTATAGTTCCATTTCAAAAAAATTGTATGATTTAAAACTTGGCGATTGAAAAGAGTGGCGGAAAGTTTCTTGCCAGTTCTCACCCACTCTACACTTGACTTGCGAACTGGTAGTAAATGTAAATTTACAATTAATTTAACTTCTTTTTGACGTTCATAAGTGTACTTGTTGGCCTATATGAATAAAGATATTTTGAGTTTGAGTTATATTACATACTGAAAAAAAATTTTTTCATACTTAAGAGCAGTGACCAATTTGAAAGACCATTTTACTCAGCTGGCAGAGAATTGCGGAGACGACTACCCATAGCTGGTCAAATAGGGGCACACCTTATGCACCCTCGCAGACTGTTACTACATTCTACTCCGACACAACAAACCGATGTGGTTCTCATCTTCCCTAAAGGTACAATTATTATAGGACTTGTTAATAATATATATTATTAACTGTAGTAACAAAATTTCCATACAATTTTATAGTTAATTTGCTTTTAGCATTGGGTATTATCTTATAACTGATACTTTTGTGAAGCTATACTACATAAAGATTTAGTGAAAATAGTAAATACCAACTTTGACTATTAATTAATTCAGCAAGCATTCTCTTGCTGACCATGATTGCTGAAAAGCATACAATATTTAGTATATGTTTATAATAATTTCACTTATATTATGTACATATGTACAATATTCAATCAGTACAAAAAAAATATAATATATTTTTAAAAAATGTATAAAGCTCAAAAGTATAGCCAGATGTAGGCACTTTCTTCAACTGTTACATTGCATTCAGTTGTTTCATAGCAATTAACCGAATCATGGGAGTTACGCCCTGAGAGTAGTAACCGTACACCTAAAGATTCTTTCATAAAGATGATATTAAATTTTACATAAATAAATATGTTATTCAATTTTAGTGCACAATTTTAGCAAAATAATTATCACGTTACCATGCACGCATTTATGATGTCTCAACTTAACAAGGGTAAAACCATATAAATAAAAAAAACATGTTACCTTTGTTAAATTCTAATAAAGTATGAACTAAATTATTGGAATGTACCTTAGATATAGAATATCATGTACAGAGGACTAAGAAAGTTAAATTGGCGGACGTCCAGAAAACCGTCACTTTTTGGCACAATCATTTTCATAAAAGAATAACGGATTGTGAATTGAAGTAGGCCACAGCAAAAGAGTATCTTTGGTAACAATATCCACAGTGATACTCAGAAATCAGTCTGACATCTGACATATACATCTTTTTTCTAATATTATAAAATTAACTGTTTGCTCCATACTACTTGCTTCATATGGCTACCACAGGATTAATTAAAATATATTTTAAGCCCTGGATGATGAATCTTTTTGTTCGTGATGCGTACACCAAGTATATCAGATGCCGACAAATTGTTTAAAAGATATACACAAATCAGAATCCCACATTGTTAGTGTTAAGCTGGCCATAGACGGACCGCATGTTGCAGTCAAGACCGTCTGCTGTAGAGCATAATACAGTCGACTACGACTGCTTGGAGCAGTTGTGTTCGACCGCAAAATAATACTGATGCGAGTTCATTTATTAGATGGATTTTGATGAAGAAACACTGCTTCTTGTACTACTATTACGCAAGCGTAGGCGTAGAAGACACCGTAGTATGTGGGTGCGTCCAATACTACAATCAAGAGAACAGCATGGAATATTTCATACTTTGTATCACCAACTGAGAGAAGACACTAAAAAGTTTGTCAACTACTTTAGAATGTCCGTGGTTTCATTTGATGAATTAGTTAGTATTTTATTTGAGGGAGTGGCGCGCGGTCGGCAGCAACCGCTTGTAGCGGTCCGTGTATGGTGGGTCCGGCAGCTCTAAGCAGTCGACCGCACGGCGAAACTCGACCGCAGAGCGACTGCTCCGACCGCTCAGGAACTGCTCGAGCGGTCCGTGTATTGCGGATATGAATTTAGTATGGAAACTGCAGATCGCCGTGCGGCGACCGCTTAGAGCAGTCGGTATCGGCTGCAACATGCGGTCCGTCTATGGCCAGCGTTATAAGCATTGTGTATATAATGTTTAGCATACTTTATTGCACAGGTATCCCAGACAGCATGCTTCTATGGCTATTACAAAAATTACGTGGTAGTCGTCCAAGGCTCCGTGTGTGCGTGCGACAACACGCCTCCTCACAATGCTCTGCCTTCTATATAACAGCTGACGACGATGTGTGAGTGTCCAGAAAATGTGTGTTACAAAATATATATTTATTTATAGTGAATCAAGTGTTAGGTTGACAGAAAAATATTGCGCTGACCAAAAATTCTAAGAGAATAATCATATTACTTTTACAATGTTTTCAAGTATCCGACGCGATCCTTGCGACAGACATTAGAATTACTTTTTCTGGGTCTCTGTGGATCGAACCCGGGATTCAGGTTATAAACTAATTACAATATTAAACGCAATTGCGTGATTGTATAGCATTAAAGTACTTAGACCTAAAGTAAATGTATAACAGAAAAGACCGTATCAATTCTTAACAGGGCGGCAACGCACTCGCGAGCTCTCTGGCGTTTAGTCTCCGTGGGCGGCGGTATTACTTAACATCAGATAAGCCTTCTGCCTGTTTGGGTGTTCTATAAAAACACAAAAAAAAATTGTCAATTTGCCAAATAATATGTAATGTTGTAGACTCTTGCAAACAGCTGAGGAGATCCACTTGCCAAAACAACTTAAACCAGAGTTTGGAGGAGGGTATAAAGAGTTCACTGTTCGTGATATGCATTGTTTTCAAAAGGTATATTTTTATTGATTATGTTTTTTTTGTACTTTGTATACACTTTATCTTATATACGTACTCTTCATATAGTATTATTATTTTATTAACAAAAGCTTGTCAAATCTCGTAACACTAAAATTGGTAAATAAGGAACAATGATGTAGAAGATTTAACGCGACAAGCACTTATAGGCAAACATAAATAAAAAAAGTTTTTTTCAAAAAAAAAAACTATGGATATTTCTTATCATCCAATATTATTACCTCAATTAATATTTTATTTACTGTTGACCGCTGTTAATGTTAATTTTTACGTGTGTTTTTTTATAAGAAACTTAAGAATTAGATTATTTTTAACTTAAAATTATGGTTTTCGTTTATTTTACGCTTCGAATCCGATCGATGTCTCTATAAAAATAGCTATCTATAAATATAATATCTACAACTAAATAATAAAAATGACTAATGAAAAACAACTTATGGTAGCATTAGGCTATTTTAAATCCTATACATACCTAAATATAAATCGATATGAACACGAAACACTTGTTCCAATTCTTGCAACCTATTCCACCAATATATTACTGGCATTATTCAAATGCCACTATCAGGGATATTGGTAACAACGGAATCGTTGAATTATTTATACAAGGCACGAAACCGTATCAAGTTTGAGGATTCTTATAAACGTACCAACTATTATTGGCGCGGTAAATTATGTATCTATGTATTTTATTTATACCTAAGACATTTTGGCTAAGGCAATGCAGGGAGCGTTAACTCGTAAGTTTAAGATACATATTGTTTAGACTGTATAAGATATATCCTACAAGAAAAAAGCGTATTTGCAATTCTTAAAAGGCCAGCAACGCACTCACGAACTATCTGACATTGAGAGTGCCCATGGGCGGTATCACTTAACATTAGGTGAGCCTGCCTGTTTGCCCCCTTTTCTATAAACAAAAGATGCCTAATTTGTTATTGCACGTAAATATAGCAAATGATGATATTACATAGGGATCTTCAGCATCAGAACTCCTTAGTTCCCAAGAAAGAGGCGAGCTCGTTAAACACGTGCTAGAAGCAGCTAGAGCAGAGCCAGGAGATGAACTAGCTTTAGAACCGGCGTTAACATTACGACCAGGACAAAGCATTGGTAAGTGGTTTTATAAAAAAACATGTCGTTTTGCAAATTAAATTAATTAGGTTTAAATATTTGTGTTGATTACCGAAACACGGCGAAGGATTTCTGTTTTGTGTTGATAAACACACAAGGGATCATCTACCGTAATAGTGAGATTAACATAGACAATTATTGTACCCATGTACTGTACATAGGACGTAATTGGGTGACATGTTTATAACAGAAAATCAAGGATATATTAGTTTTGTTTTCCTTTGTAATATTCCGTAATGATTAATGAATATTTACGAATGTGAATAAGAATGTTCCCGAATAAAGTTTCATAGTTGAGGGTCAACAAGGTCAACAATAAAGGCATTGTTAACATTAAGGGTGATTTTATTTTCTTAAATTCTAGGTCTATAATCTAAATACCTTCTGACATTGCTTCGAGTTTATTTTATTTTAATTAAAAGTACTAGAAAATAAAAATATATAATTTCGTAAATATGTAATTTTAGTTCCGGCATGCGTTAGCCGTGGTGTTATAGGGAGTATGTTTCCGCTTCACGAGCGAAATGAATTGGAGAGTTTAAGGAAGAAATGGGTCAAGACGTTCTTCTCGCCACAACCTTTAGGTAATTACGTTTATTTTTATGAAACTCGCATTTTTTACTTAACTAAAAATATAATGAAAAATACAAGATCACTATTTACGTATATTATATTTATTGTCTCTTTAGTTAACGCGATTACTAAATAAAGTTTTAGTTAGTCGATACTCTTCCATACAAAAACCAATTTGATTTAACTATTGTTTGAATAAGCAGTGCAGTGTTGGCCTAGTGGCTTCAGCCCTGAGGTCGTAGGTTCGATCCCCGGCTGTGCAGCTTTCGACTGTCTTTCTATATGCGCATTTAATTTCGCTGGAACGGTGAAGGAAAACATCGTGAGGAAACCGGCTTGCCTTAGACCCCAAAAAGGACGGCGTGTGACAGTCACATGAGGCTGATCACCTACTTGCCAAACACCTTTTAGATTGAAAAATGATCATGAAACAGATAGAGAAATCTGTGCCCCAGACCTAAAAAACCTTTTAGTCGCCTAATTGTATTAATACAAGTACGTGAAAATGTTTCATAATTTTATGTTCAATCCAAATATCCATCTACCACTTTAATCTTTGCTGCTAATGTGCAAAGTTATATCATATTATGAAAATGTAGAAGAGCCTGTAAATTTAGACTTATGTAATTGACTTTATGTGCTGTTTTTAGATGAGATTAGCGAATACTTCGGGGTGAAGATAGCTATGTACTTCGCATGGCTGGGGCATTATACACGCTCGCTCACTGTACCCGCCGTCGTCGGCTTCGTGTTTTGGGTAAGATACTTTAAACCATTCTTATTTATAAAAACTTAATGCAAACCTGGTATATAAGATAGAAAATTTTAATGGATGCGTAAAAAAAGTACTATGTACAATATGTATTAGCCTAAAAATTAATGTGTTTCTTAATAAGTCTTTTATTAACATAACTTTTATACATTTAAAGAAAACACTTTTTTACCGGATTAAAGTTATGTATTATAAACTTATAATTATTTTACATAATTAAAAAACAATCCGACGTTTCGCGTATGTATTATTATAAGTTTATAATAATACATAACTTCAATCCGGTAAAAAAGTGTTTTCTTTAAAGTCTTTATAATTCCTTGATTATTGAAGTGAAACTTCTTTATCGAGGTTGGAAAAAAATTTAGTGTAACATTTTTTCGTTACGCGTCACATTTTTCGGTTACGCGCCATGTTGCTTTTTGAAGTCAAACTTCTTTATCGACGTATGGGAGAAATTTTGTAGCAACTCGTCACGTTTTTCAATGATAGTAATAATTCTATTACAATTAATGAAATTATATAATAATCTTCGTAGTAATAAGGTAAAATGAAATATTTGTATTCATGTCTATGATAATAAAAGCCTTTTGTTAAACTTTATCTAATTTAACGAATTTCTGTAAAGTTGCATATACCTAGTAGATCATTTTTCGAAAAATAAGATCATAAAGAACTTCACTTCTTACGTGTGTACACCTAGCACGCACACATTTTTTTTGGTGTAAGGGTTTCACAGGTGATACAAAATATATTTGCTTAGAGCTCCGATAACTGCGGTAACCTTCCGTAGCAACTAATAAAAGCCTTTGCAGTGAGTTAAATATTTTTTTAGTGAAGCTTTTATTTCTAGGTTTGGCTGGGTACAGCGAGTGACAACTGGAAAGATATAGCTCACGTTTTGTTTTCCTTGTTCAACGTATTATGGGCGTGTGTTTATTTGGAGACGTGGAAAAGGTAATTTTTGAAGTTATACTTCTTTAGGCGCGTTATGAAAACTTGATGAGAGTGTAATTTTACGATGCGCGCGCACCGTGACACAAAATTAACAGAATGAAGTTGCCCACGGAAGATGCTACGGCTTTGGACATAATTTAAAAACAACATTCGAATAATAATAGAATTTATGTTACACTTAATGTAAGAGAATAATAATAAATATTTATTTATTTAATTTTTCAAATGTAAACTGAACTTGATTGGCTATTATGACTCCTTTTCCAGTCTTTGATTATTTAATTGTAATTAATTATTTGCATGCAATCAAAAACTATTTTTAATAATGCCAAAGAAGTATATCTTCTTACGCGCGTACATAAGTACACGCACCCTTTTTTATGTTTGTATTATATGGTTGACTTTAATTGTTTGTATTTACAAAGCAAATTTGAGGTTACTGTTTTACTTTTTTCTTTTACTTTTATTTGTGGAACTTATTCTAGGCTGTTGCATAATTAATATTATAAGTAATATTATATATCGTATACGCAAGCAACGACAGTGCAATAAAATATTTGTGGAATTTTAGGTATTCCAACGTGTTAGCGTATAAATGGGGCACGTTGGATCAGAGAGATGACTTGCTCCTGGAACCAAGACCTCTGTTTCAGGTAACCTATTTAATACTATATATTTATGAATTTAAGATTGTATTTTAATTGATTTCTTTAAAAAAATATGATTCTCACAAACTACCTGAAAGGCAGAACTGCCTCCTTTAAAAAAAATATATTCGTAGTCGTCTTCAAAAATGTAAAGTCGCTTTTAAGAAAGATACTACTAGAGCTGCCCTAACATTTATGTCAACCTTATAAAACTATACGATCACAGAGTAAAGTGATTAGAAAGCAGATTCAATAAATAGCTACTAAATATTTTATCTTATTGTGTAGTAAATAAATGATCTTGAAAAAATATTTCAGAGGTTATTTGTATTTTTTTAGGGTGAGATGAGTATAAGCCCGGTAACGGGTCGCCCCGAGCCGCAGTATGCGGCTTGGCGACGCCGCGTTTGGCGTCACTGCGTCTCCTTCCCCGTCATGCTGTTGTGTCTAGGTGTTGCTGGAGTCGCCACTTTCGCGTTATTATTAGCTCAGGTATAACATTTTAAAAATGCTACGGTATGTTCTTTGGTTAAAGGGAGACATGGTCAATCTTCTATAGACGTCACTCACTAACGCCAAACGAATTTGTATGAAAACGGTCACGTGACAAAGCGTGAACTAATGTCATTCCTTTACAAATTCGCCACATATTATAGTGCTTAATGTATCAAATGAAACGCATAGTGGCCTATAGAATTGTTGTAAAATGTTCTATCCTTAGGATTCAAAAATTATATTTTGGGATGACAGTCAAATGTGATTAATCGTAGGTAGAATTACCTACGAATACATTAAAACTATTTCATTTTTAAAAAGACCCTTAGGCCTTTTCTCCACTGCTCCGGTCCGGCAAACTTTAATTACCGATCCGATTTAGAAACTCAACAGTACTTACGTACTTCTCCACTACTCCGGCATTCGGTTTTTAAAGATCCGATAATTTGCTAGATCGGAACGTGGTGTTTTATCGGTCCGAAGTGATTGACTGTGATGCCAAATTGGGTGCTTTACCCCCAAATTTAGGGGGAAACAAGATGTCCAAGGCTTTTTAGAGGGGGTACATTTATTTAGGGGGGTTTTGATTCTATACAATTTATTTTAAGATTCGAACGCAATCAACAAACTAAACCAAATATACACTCCAAGCCTGGCTACAGCTTAAATATCGAAAAACAATAATTTAATCCGAACGAATAATGGCTAAATAATGTATGAAAAGAAAATGACGATAAGGCAAAAAAATTTCTGCCAAGAAACGTAAACGTTAAGAAAAACTGAATTCGAAGAAAGAAAAGTTAAGAAAGAAAAAATAAGAATCGTTTCATCTCATTGTTATTATTATTCGGTAATTGAATCGTAAAGCCGAGGAATTTTAATAAAGCACTGTGTTACGTCCGTTGCGACGGGTGACTTATTTTTACTGATCGATGATTGTCGGATAAAGTGGAGAAGCACAATCCGGCCTTCCGATATTTTTCTAATGACTGATTCCGGTTTCCGACGCCGGACCGGAGCAGTGGAGAAAGGGCCTTAACGTGGAAAACAGAAATATCGTTTTTCGTATGTGTGGAGGAGTGTTAACAACCTGTAACCAGACAGCTATCGTACCTTAAATAATTGTATATTATAGATCAAAATTAACATATTAATGTCCAGTTTTATATACCTATTTACTATTTTACGTCATCCCTGGTCCGGACAAGTCTTGAAATTTGTATTGATTTTGAACTCTAGGATTGGTGGGAACACAGAATAGGCTACTTTAATTGGATACCACGTGCCGCTTTGGCTATTATTATAGCTTTGGAAGAGGAGGCATACTCAAGGATAGCCAGATGGCTCAATGACAAAGGTACATTATATTTTTATATATTTATTAATTTGCTAGATTTTTTATTACTAACTAGAGTGTGAATAAATACAAAGAAGTTAAATATAGAACTGTCGTAGTATTAAATTGAAATTGCCATAAATATGTTTTAGAAATATAAATAGTTTAAAGTTAACTGTAGTTTAGAACTATCTCGTTAGGTTTTTGGCGAACTTTTTTGTGATGTTATAATAAACCTAGCATGATTTAAATCCTGCCAAATCTATAATTAGACATAGAAAACCATAGACTAAATCTATTTTTTAATCTATGGTAGTAAATTTTGTTTTCTCTTTACCGCTTACCAAAATGGGAATGGACAACGTACATGGTAACATCGATATTTAAATAGAAAATTATCGGCTTGAGACAAAGTATGAGAACCATCTGATTGTGAAAATTGCATTGGTTTGTATTGAACTGCAAATGGCTTTAGCTTAATTTTGGGGTTGCCATCTAGAAACAGCAATATATATATTTTCATCACCATTTTCGTTGCTGTTCAATATTAAGATAACATGACTCATAGTTGTTTCTTCAAAACATTCGTGGAAACATTTTTTTTTAAATTTGCATGGCAACCCAATACATCTATATACCTTCTACAAATGTATTTTCTATTAACATGGCACGGCATTCTGAGCATATGCATGGTACTTAATTTTAACACTCAATTAATTTCAATAGCTTCATCAATTAGCGATAAAATAAATCTTTTTTTTTACTATCTAACCTACTAAATTGAATATTAAAAACAAAACACGAGATTTATTAATATTTTTCTAGTCAGTATTACCACTTCACATTTTATCAATGACGCCTCCTTATCGAGTAGAACTACTTCAAGTTGAATCCAATACTAAATATTGCAGTTCTAGTCTTAAATGCTAAACACTTCAAAAAAATTAAATATCAAAGGTACATTTCTATATATTTGATAGGATATATGTAGGTAAGTTTTTAATATTATCTCAACTTATAGAGGACTTCCAATATAAAAAAATCACGAAACTTCGCATTCGTCGATCTTACTCAAGATTAAATCCAATACCAGATCTATCAAAATGTTTTAGTAGTGTGTTAGAATATGGAATATGTTCATTAGTACCAATTGTCTTGTCTTTGAAAATAGATAATTCTGTATACAATTTTAAACTTACTGCGAAATTATGATTTTGTTTGTTCAGTTTCAGTTCGTAAACTCCTTTATGAGTTTGTTCTACATCGCATTCTATCTTCAGGATATGGATAAGTTGAAAGAGGTAAGAGTTCGTAAGAACGTCATAATAAAATCCTTATCCATTTAAAATAATCTTACAATTAAAAAAAAGTCTAATTTAATGCGTTTTAAATAATAAAAGTGCATTTTTGTAGCAACTAGCAGTTCTCCTTATAACGAGACAGATAATTGGTAATCTGAAGGAATCTGCGCTGCCGTATCTTATTGAGAATTTGAGATTGGCCAAAATCTGTTTTGACGTGTTTGGAGCTTTGAGCCCTACTAAAGGTAAGTAACATGTTGTCGTAAAGGAAACATATTGTTTAATATATTTTATTCCAAATATCTGCTGCTATTGGCCATATCTGTGTGCGTACTTGTCCCGGCTTTATACAACTGAGCATTTTTTTACATTTTGGAAATAAAAATAGCCTATGTTACTCGGCGATAATGTAACATTCTATGAGTTTGTCAGTTACAAAAATCTTTATAATATTAGTATATTATATCTAAATTCATATGTTTATGTCGGTTTCCTCAACGCGCTTTGTACATTTTTTTTTAATGGCTCTGGCACGTTTTGTGCATTAGCCAGCGTCTAGTATAGGATTTTTTATAATTCGTGCTTGTCTTTAGAAATTCGACCGTGTCCTTTATGTACGGTTTAAGCACTCGCCCGGTACCGCACAACCCTCCCAAAGGCCGAGAACAAATTTAAATTAAATTAAAACTTGCCCTCGAATCGGGAATCGAACCCGGTACCCCTCACCTAGCTGCCACTTAATAAGACCGCTAGGCTATGAGGCCCCTCTTTTGTACATTTTAACCCCAATTGTTGTAAAAATAATAACCACAGACAAAATAATACTAAGTAAAAGTGAAATAAGGTCTTATTCATAAAAAATAACATTTTACTAGACATTTTATGGCATTTTTTTCATTTTGATTTGGTTTTGTGTATATAAGCTAAGATTCTCGTTTAGGTAAACAAAACACAATTTAGTGCTTATACAAGTAAAATATTTCAGTTCAAACGTCAGAACAGCTAGCTGAACTATTTGAAAAGGAAAAAATCTCATCTAGTGGCGAACCACCGGAGTTATTATTGAACGGCACAGACAAAGACAGACGTGATTCAGAACCTGTCGTGGGACAAAAGGTCATACATCAGGCTGAGCTGGAGTCACAATTGTTTAAGGTAAATGCTATTTTGAACAGAAATATTACATTTATTGAATTATAAAGAATAAAGCTAGTGTAACTCGTGCCCTTTGGTCATTAAATAAACAATCTATGAACAAAAACACTTTGTGTTTCTCACTCTCTCGTCAATTAAATAATAATAATATTGTCGTTAATTTCCAATTTTTACAAATGTTGAATATACAGTTTAGATTTGTTATATACATTTTTTTTATCGTTACTCGATATCCTAACATCCATTTGATCAGAACCCCTTCACGAGTAAAGTCCTCCTCTAGCTTTTTCAAATATCTCTATTCATAGGAATACTCGTCAAATTAATTGACATGACAAAATATTGAGATACAATATGTGATTCTACTATAATGAAATTTTAGTTTGAGATACGAATTGGACCTTTAGTATTTAAGAATTTATGTTTTATTTCTGTTGTATTTTTTAATTGATGATAAATTAATGAAGCCATAAACGTTTAATTTCAGTACGAAGGCACATTCGCTGAATACCTGGAGATGTTGACTCAACTAGGTCACGTGGTATTGTTCTCCACTGCGTTCCCTCTAGCGGCGTTATGTGCTCTACTGAATAACGCATGTGAGATACGAGCGGATGCCTTCAAGCTGTGTCATGTAGCCCAGCGACCCTTTGGAGAGAGGGTTAATAGTGTTGGGAGCTGGCAGGTGATACATTTGCTTTTTTTTTTATAATATAGTCTGTAAGCAAAAGCAAACTGTCGATGTGACAGCAGCGAACACGTTTCTGCATTACTTATTTTTCTAACCTGCCAGTAGGGTTCTCTGAACACAATAAATATCTAAATAGGATATTTGCATTATACGCACTGAACTAACAATTTTCACACAATACTTTGTTTCGCAAGACGAAGATTATTTGTTTATAGTAATTATGAATTATATTACCTGCTTTATAATTGCGTTACAGTATAGTATCGAATGCACAATTATTTTGGCGGTGCATTATCAACTAAATAGCTAAAGTAAATATATAATATATATTAGATTTGTTACTACTAAGTACTGTTTATTTCATTATCACGCATGTATTAACAAGAGTCGAATTTACTTACCATTTCAGTTACTAAAAAGGTTAAGGTTTTCTAAGTTTTAACTTTTTTTTAACGATTATGGTGTTATCTTTCGATTAGTAATAAATTAATTTAGAAAAGGAAAATAAAGAGATTTATAAAATTACTAGTACTTAATGTATGTCGTAATTTTAGCACGCAATGGAAGCGATGGTAGCAGTATCTGTATTAGTTAACTGCGCGTTGATTGGTCTATCTGGTCCCGTACATCGATTGTTGCCTGACGCGACTCCTGCTCAGACTGTTCTACTCATTGTGGCTTTAGAGGTAAGAAAATGACAATTTGTTGTTGTTGCTTAACCTGCATAATTATAACTTTGCGTCTGTTTTTGTAACCTCGGAACAATTCACCACAGTTTTTTTTAATAAGATAATTTCACGATTATATAGGATTAAGATATGTTTATTTTTTTATTAAGACGCAAAGAATCTTACAAACAAAGATAAAATTGAATATAACAAAAAAAGATTTAGTCGTGCTCAGTGATCGCCTCACTCGCTACTTCTCGCTCGTACGCTCGCTGTGAACACTCGGCAAGCCTTGTGACCGCAGCACTGTACGGCGACACAATTATGTACGGCCCTAAGATATAGAAGTCTAAAACGTGCTTTATGGTGATAGAAAAAGATTTATCTTTAGTTATAATCATAAATAATAAAAAATATTTAATAATTACACATTCACCCATAGTATTGATGAGTATATATAGTTAAATAAAAAATGTTATAGCACGTGGTATTGGTGACGGTACTGGCTCTACGCGTGGCGATTCCTGAGATTCCGGCATGGCTTGCTACTGAAATGGCGAAGGTGGAGTTTCAAAGACGGGAGGCTATCAATTCTGCGCACGCGCCGCTATTGGTAACACCAAAAGATTTAGTTTTAAAATTACGTTATTGTCAAAATTTGTTACGAGTAAGAATGGAGTATTTTAAAGGACCGGCAACGAATTTGCGACCCCTCTAGCAATGTGAGTGTCTATTAGTGGTGGGTATCACTTAACATCAGATGACCCCCCTGCTATATAATAAAAAAACCTATTTCATTTATAATTTTTAAATTCTAGTGAACACGTACTGTCTGAATTGTTCAAACATGAACATTTAGAGCTAAATTTGTTAGTTATTTAACAAATTATTTTTCTAGTCGGAATTTCCTAGTCAAGATGACATACGTCCCTCTCGCACTCCACGAACATTGACACCAACCACTCCGAAGCTCGAAAAACCAGTGGAAAAAAAGAAAATTAATATTGGGAAAATTTCTGAAATTCCACCATTTAGGTGAGTATTGCCACGAAATATTTTTCTTTAAACTATTCCAAAGTAACTTAATCTACTTTTAAATGTTCTGACACGTTTAGTAATTGTAAACTGATAAGGACAAAAGATTCAGATTTAGTAGTATGTTTAAAAAGTTCTAAAGCTTATTAGAGAAATGTTAATGATTGATTTCTATACTATTTGTATGTAAAATGCCTTGAAATAAATATCGAAATTGAGATAAATTCCAGTAATTTAATTTTAAAAATATAGGGAGGTCTGAAAGTAACTGGAATGACATCATTTATATGAAATAGAATCATTTCATATGCATGAAAGAGTTCTTGGAGCCACTGCTCCGTATTTTAGTGTGGTGCTCAAGTTCCAAGTTAACTAGTAAAAAATATTATCTGTGGCACCCAGTATTCTTTTTCTCATATAGATAGTAGATTACAAATGCTATAGTGTTTATTAGGCGGGGTACTAATAACTTTTTGCAACAAAACTATTGCGCAATTTTAAGAATTTTATGTATAATTTATGGCTCTCTGCAAATCAGATAAATTACACGTCCGGGCAATCAATATCTCTTGTTAATCTTGGCTTCTAAGACTCTTACATTACACATAAAATTTAAAACAAAATATTGCAACACTACCAACATAAAAATGAAATTGAAAAATTATTTCTATGCATTTTGTCGCGTTCCTAAACAAGACTGCTATGGTTACAATTATACAAACAACAGCGGTTTTCTAATGTAACACATTATGATTTTATTGTATTATTCTGTAATACAAATAATAAAAAATAATCAAATCAGATTGACCCCAATACCTCGTACATTAGTTAAATTTAACACAAGAAAGCCATTAATTATTCAGAATACGGAATCTGCAATTTATTTTATTGTTGCAAAATGTTGCCAGTACAAAATGGCAATATAGATTATAAATTAGTTTCATTCTGTTTGTTTTCAGTTAATTTGACACATTACAGCGATGGGTGTGTAGTTAACGAGTTAAATATTCCATGATATTATCTGTACCATATATGCTTTTTGTACGTTGTGTATTTTGTTTTTTATTATTTATTTGCAAATAAATTTTGATCTCTCTATTGTAGTTTTTATTAATCCTTCAAATGATACGTCCATAAAGGTAATTTCATTTTATTATGTAATCTATACATGCACTCATGTCATTTATATCCTAAAGGCTAGCGTACATCTAAAAATCTTGCTTCAAAATTCCTATTACATTTATAAAAGTTTTACTGTTGATCTTTTGATATTCTAACATTTTGGTATAAAAAAATGTAAATAGTAATCGAATTTTATATTTCTCTCTCCCCTCACGTTCCTAGCTTTCTAGACCATTCTCTAAACTCGCTATACTTCTTTCGCAAGGGTTGGTTTTGAAGTTTCGTAAACGTACTTTTTAACCCTGCTTGGGCATTCGCACATTTAAAACTTGAAGCCTCACAGTCTTCCGATTGCTTGAGAATTATCAGTAATTATATTTTCTAAAAACTCGGCTAAAGGGTTGAAATTTCCAGGCCTAAAGCAGCTTCTATAGATCCAGCAGTGACTACCGGTTCGCTGCAAATGTTGCAAGATGTCAGTCCTACTAAGCCTATATTACGGAAGGTAAGAAGAATTAAATCAAATTTATGTACTTTAATTTTCTCTAAATATATATTAGTTGTCTTTCAATTTGCTTTTCCCCTTTCTCTAATTAATTTTAATATGTTCTATAAATAAAATACCATAAGAGAATAAGATGGTTACATAAATACATATTAACCCAATCCAAAGTAATGTGGAAATTTGTTTCGTAAAATACGTTAACACGTCATAAATCTTTTACTATTTTTTTATAGGAAGCCAATCCAGGTGCACCGTTGTCCCTTCTCGGCGTGCGAGGGTTAAGAGATGAACCACTACACCGGTCTGCGCATTGTATTCCACACCCTACTCACCACAGGCCTCTTGTCAACCCTACGCTGCAGGTATTCTCTTGCTTTCCACAACTGCTATAAAGCATTTGAAACGTTGAGTTAAGTAATTAAAACATCAGTCATCAATTAGACATCGGTATTTAACCTTGAGTAAATTTATATCAAAATGTGCAGTGAAATGCAAAAAGATGTTCCAAAACTAAAATTCTCTACTTACTGTAGTCAGTGTCTGTTTGTGCGAAAATCTTAGATGGGTGGAATCTAAATAAAATTTATAAAAATAGCATTTGAAGAAAATATCAGCTACATTTTTTTACACAAATATATATATGTTTTTTTAACTTGTTAGCACCGAATATTAAAAGAAATACGACACAAATAAAGATAACAAGATAAAATAATGATAAGAAACAACAACAATCAATAATAAATAGAAGAACACACACCAATCTATAATTTATTGTCAGAATAAGCACGCCAAATATCTCATAAAGGCGCCCACTGTATTGGCATTTGTAATCGACGCAGGCTGGCTATTAAATAGTTGCGCTCTCTCAAACGTCAGCGTACTCTTGCCGTTAATTCGTGCGATTTTTTGGTATTTAAATGGTATTTAAACAATTTTTGGATGTCAAGTGGACCGTCACAAACTATTATTGCTGTTTGTGGTCTATCTAATTATAATAGTATTTAAATAGTAAAGGCTTTCCTTGATATTTTAGGAATTATCGGGCAGTGTTAGCGCTGGAGGATCAGAGCCGGATTTGAATGCTGTTCCGTCTCCTACTTCTCTAGACACCAGCGCCACTTCCAGTGAAGACGACAAGCCTAAAGACAAGGACAAGAGCAGTAAGTATTGGTTTCAACTTCCAAAATATAAGAGTACAAATATATAGAGGTACGTGCCAGAACCAATATTCTGCGGGCCTCTTTACGGACTGTGTTCTTTACTCGATACTAACCTATGTTACACACTCCTCTTTTGCTTCATTTAAAAAACAATTGTTATACTTCATCAGCTTTGTATATTTTTTATTGTTATAATTATTTGTATTTTTGTCGTCTTTTTATGTGTAATTTTCTAAATATTGTAGTCTACTTGGCTTTACCGTCTACAGTCTCAGTTCTTGTTCTTTTTTCTGTCAAATAAATTGTCGGATAAATTCAATACTCTAGCTTTAAATTTGATTTGTCTTTTTGCTGCGATGATCTTTTTCATATGTATCAGGGGGCAAAGGGGCGGGAGGCTCACCTGACGTTATGTGATACCGAAGCCCATAAACACTCACTATGCCAGCCTTTTAAGAATTAGTACGCTCTTCTCTAGAAGGAACCTAAGTCGAATTAGTTCGGAAATATTTCAGTGGGCAACTGGTTCCACATAGTGGAGGTGCGCGGCAAAAACTGCCTTAAAAAACGCTCCATTGTGGAACTTTGGACGTCAGATGTTGTATGAGGAAGTAACCAATAAGCTCTCTGTGGTAATAGTAAAGGTTAATAGTTGAGACCTAGGACAATCTTATGTTACGTTATATTAATAAATGCTATTTTGTTTGATGTCATCTTAAATTAAATAATCACAGGTCGTTCCCGCGCACGTGCCGCTCTAGTGAAACGCGTCCGATCAGTGGCAGTATTTTCTCTGGGACTGCGTAAAGCACGTGAAGCTGCGCAGGCGCACGACAAACACTCGCCACACACACCAGAGCGACCGCTGACTACGCCGGTAAACTATTATCTGAATATTTGTAGTCTTCCGAATTTTATTAAAAATACGATCAGAATTACAAGTAAAATCATCATCAACAATCATTTATATCACAATCATCAATCAATCAAATCATCATTGCTGTGCAAATTTGGATGGGTTTGGATGGATAAGCGAAAGAAATACAGAATTCATTTAAACTCTTTGTTTGGTCTTTTGCTATTTGGATATAAATCATGATTTTTTCAGGGTCATCCGGCGCCAATATTAGGTGGCGAATTATCCCTAATCCCCATAGAACAGCTGATCCAGGTGGATGATGTCAAACCAAGGCCGTCAACGTAATCTTCCGTAGTTTATGGAAACTCGTATTAAGTTATTAGGAATACAGTTTTGTATGGTTATTGCTTCGTGTTATGGTCGAATACTTGTTGAAGTAAACTTAAACCTAACAACCCCCTAATATTTGTAGTCATTTATTGGATTTTTTTTAAAGTATCATTTTCTATAGTCTAGGAAAATGATAATATGAAATAGATGATTACGTCAACAGTAATTATTTACTTTTTTACACATATTACCCACACATTGTCTATGCTTGAAAACGAAATGCATTTTCGAGGATTCCTACAAAAATTATGTAACTTTATGTACTATTAGGATTAGGAGGGGGGGCATATATTGAAGTAAATGACAACATAAATATTTGACCATAACTTGTTTATTTAATAATTAATATAATAATTTAACATTTTATATGTAGATTATGAGTAACTTAGGTGTCCCTGGTAAGTAATTTATATTAATTTGTAATACCTTGTATAATTGTTAATATATTGTTATTGACAATTTTATTGTTAAATTCATTTAGTAACTAGTCATCTCGATAAAGTATTATTTAATCATGATTATGAAAAGGTGTGAATGTGCTACTAACGCGACTTTAGCAAAAAAAGTTAATCAAAAAGTAATTAATTTTTTTTTCGGAATTTAATTAAGTCAATTATTTTTGCTCATTAAAATGTTTGAAAAGGCCATAGATAATGCTAATCCTGGTTCTAAATTTGAAATTGGTCATAGATTAAAAACTTATCAAGTACAAAAAGTCAGAATGAATTATTAGTACCAACGAGATATTTGTGATATTGCTGTGAATGTGTGTTGTTAAACGGCTTTTTTTAGCATTTTTAACATTTTGAAAGTTTTTCGATGTTGTTCATACTATGTTTGTTAATTCAGAGATAAGCTTTGGGCAGATCTGACATGTGTCATTTTACCTTTTTCAATCACTTTATATATTTCTCTTTGTTCTTTCCTATATATAACTTCTTAGGAACTATGGAGAGTAGGATAATCTTCGTTTGTCAGATCTGACTCGTCAACTTATAAGCAATCTTCTGACAATAATGGCTGTTATTTCAAATATTTATATCTTCCTTCTGTACTTCAACTTAATTTTTTTTTGTGTGTGTCCGTGTTATATCTTCTTTATAAGGACTTACAAAGATATGATGAATATTCTCTTAGAAGTGACTTAGCTCCTTTAAGGCATTTATTAACATTCAAATTTTTTGTCAATTATGTGTCTACTGCATAAACTATAATCTTTCCCTTTTTACAGTACAAGAATTTTATAGAACTTAGGAATAAGTGTTAGTAAATGGTAAGATAATTATTACAAATATTTTTAATTGAATTGAAGTTCGTTCTAGTAGTATATTTTTAGATTATACTTATTTTATTACAGTAACAAAAAAAACAAATATTTTTATTTCTTTGCAATTTATTTGTCTTTCTTCGAATATTGTATGAAAATAGCTTTTCACTATCATTAAGGCATAGTAAAGTAAGTTAGGAGTTGCTTAGCTTAGTTGGAGCTTAAATTGCCTGTCATGGGATACAATTTTTTGCTTCGCCAAATTGGTCTATTATGTAGTATTGTAATGAAATCTTTGGGAGTATTGTTTATTAGCTATTTATTTACGAATTTAAAGTGGCAGCTAATATTTTAATTTTACATACGTTCGGAATTACTCTAGGGCCTGAGACGAAATCATTCTGCGACAGGCGTGACCCACGAACGAATTTGTATGAAAACGGTCACGCCACAAAGCGCGAGCTAGTGCCCCAAGTGGGTTATGAGTGTCGAATTGTGATTTTGTCTATGTTCTCTAAATACAGAGGTAATATCCCAAGTAACAGACAATTACAATCTACGCTTACAATAAACTCACATTTATTGTTATTTGCTAATACTGTTTAAAAATAGTACATTTATATTACCTCACATACAGGTTAGTCACGTCCCGTTGATGTATTATTATTGTTATATTTAGCGACACAAATCGTGAATTTGTTAGTGATATATAGAAATGCTTTATTCTTAAATAGTGTTGCGCGCCGTAGCTAAACAAAGTATTTGTTATTGTAATTATTTTTATACGGACTATTGATAAATGTTGCAATTTTAGTGTAATAAATAAATTACGTTTGCAATTTACAAATTTTTGTTTTATTCTCGTTACCATTTTCAATTATCTTTATATTTATCTTATACAGTCAAAACCGGTTATAACGACATTGAAGGGACCGTATAGTTGCCGACGTTATATCCGATAGTCGTTGTAAGCAATGTCATGTACACAAGTACAGTACATATGTATGTACATAGTTATCGATCTAGAATAGGTAGGTATGGGTTATAATATGGTATGTTAATATTATAATATGTAAACGAGTCAAAAAAGAAACAAAAATATTTATTACGAAATAATTAGGTACAAAAGTAATCAGTCAGTCTGTTTTTTTTAGCCCAGTCTCAAATATTTTTTGCATTTTACGTTTCATACTCCTCAAGGTATGAGTATCACCAGTATCAAACTGTTCGTTAAAGGCAACAAATTTTTGCAAAATCGTTACAGCGTTAAGAGCCTCGGAAATCGTTGTTGGCTGAAACTGTTCGTTGGGAGAAAGTGCGTAGGTAATAATATGCCTAAATATTCATTCAATGCTTATAAATAAAATTTAAAATCGTTTGTATTGTTTTGTTTTACTGAGACAAGAAGCGGTTGGTCGTTATATCCGATGAATATCGATAAACTTTCGTCGTTGTAAGCGATATGTCGCTGTATCCGATGTTGTTATAAGCGGTTTCTTTACTGAATAGTTTACTAGGGATTCGGACGGGACCATACAATCTGGTTGTAATAACCGATAGGTCGTTGTAAACGATGTCGTTATAAACGGTTTTGACTGTATAAAGATAATTAATATATTTATTTATCTTTGTTAGAGAAAGTGCAGCTAGGATTATTAAATGAAAACTCTTTTACAGAAAATTACCTCAAATCCAATTTCTATTACCCAAAAACAATAATCTATATGGGAAAAAAAATATTAGACTATCTTATTCCAAATATAACAAGAAACAATATTAAAGTAAAATTTAAAAAAAAAATACATAAATCAAACAATTATAAATTATGCATAACAAAAGATCATGCTAATCAGACATCATCTTCATTAAATTGTTATTAGAATATAGGAAAACACCCTGTATTCGAATGAGGTTTCTCGCATCGTCTATGTATGGAGCGTCAACGTTTCAACGGATTTGTGACGTTTTACGTGCAATTTAATGGTTATGATGTGTATGTCATTAGCCTTAGTAGGTAGGTATATAAGTTAATTATTTAAATCTGTTCGACGTCCTAGTGGACAGAAAAACTGTGTCCAGTTTGTGTTTCCACCACACCAACATCTTTTCTATTTCAGATTATGTATACAATAAATAAATTTAAACCTTATGGAATGAATTAATGAACATAGGACTCCGATCCACAGAGACACAAAAAGACGAAGGTTTTGAGATGTGGTGTTGCCGTCGCATGCAAAAGGTGAGGAATGAAAGAGTTTTTCAACTAAACTAAAAAACTAACAACGAACGACACGACAGTTTATGCAGGCTGTTAAAATACGGAAAGTCCATATCACGTACACGTTTTGTTTACAAACGAGTTGTTGCAGCTTATAATGATGGGTAAAATTGGAGACAAGAGACGGGCTGGGAAGAAGTCGCGGTTGCGGAGGTACGGGAGTGAACCGGCACCACATCCGCCGAGGAGCTTATTGGGCAAGCGTAAAGCCCGGGTTATGCTAGAGCCACGCCGCGTGTCGCAACGCGTGGGATTGCGATCGGTTACATACATTTAGTATGAACGTGGTTACATTAACCCAGCCCCGCGTGTCGCCGAGTGAGCTGACGCCACGCAGATCGCTCGATTTCGATCGGCGTGGGCTCGGTACTGGGGGAAGTGTCCCGTTGGCTCGCTCTGCGCTAGTATAATCGCCACGTGGCTACGCGCATTTGCGCATTCCGTCGTGTTGACGTGCAAGCAAGCAGACATCTACCACATTTTGATTTTAAAATTTGGTATAAACGAAATTTGGTATGAATCTTTTTAACATCTTTTTCAATCAAAGAATGTACGTAGTCAAATTGTGTTTTTGTCATCCTGAAATATTGGTGAAATCTAGTGTCGTCGCTTTTTAGTTCATTCACCAATAAATGATATTCACTTCGAGTTCCTCTTGATGCATTAACTGGGTGCACCCAGTATCTCCTCTTCTTTCTTTTCTTCTTGAGTTGGCTTAACATAAATAGGCAGGCAATATCTTCTTCAAGATCCGTATCTGAGTCGGAAGAGAACATTGTAAATAGATGCGGACGTTTACGCGGTCACCACTGAACTGACACAAAAATGAATCAGCACGCGTGGCGACACGACACTGTAGTATAATCACCAGCCCGTGCGTCAGGCAGCGTTGCGACACGCGGCGTGGCTGTAGTATAACCCTAGCTTTAGATGCTCGGTAATACAAGATGCTAACAGCCAACCTTTAGTAATAAAGTGGCTCTGATGAAGAAGATAAAAATAATAATTATGTTGCTAACTTCGGGTTTCATCACTGTCAAATGGCAATGTAATTTATTTATTTATTAATACTTCGTGGCATAAACATACAAAAAATTGTACATAATTAAATGAAAAGGAGGGCAACTGGCGGCCTTATCGCCTTCAAGCGATCTCTTTCAGGCAACCATTTACCTCTTTTACCCGACTTGATTGCCGAGATGATACGTTATTACGATTTGTTACGTTATCATAGCATACTACTCGAACATATCTGCAAGTGGTTTATTTAAGTATACCGCGCATTGCACTTACGATATTTCTTTTATCGTGACAATTTGACTTGATTGATGTTTTGTAAAGATTTTGATGTATCTACGTACATTCATTAGTTTAGGAAAAAAATTGAAGAATATTTCATTTATAAAAAACCAAATCTATAATCCATTTATTTATGCTTGTAAATTGTTTACGAGTTGTGCTGTGCACTATAGTGTTGCCCGTTTTAGACATCCAACCAAATGAAAAATTTTATACAAGCCAATCAACTGTTAGAGATCTTTTCGTAAATCTAAAAACGCCAATACAAAATCAAAACGATGTTCCATAAAAACAAGCGCCAATCATAGAAAGACTAATAATTTCAGGCAAATTGACAAGTACGAAGCGCTGAAATAATTTTCGGATTTATTTATTTACTTCTCATTTAAAAACAATAATTTCAATTCGCATTTCTTCCGCAATTTAAGACGACAAGTGTTAAAGGGACACGTTATATTTCTAAGTATTAAATTAATAGTTATTGCGTCATTAAAATCCTTCATTGTTGTTTACAAAAGCGTGTACGATTACTTCAAATTATATCTATTATCTAACGATCAAAGAAATTGCGTTTTATAAAAATGATACCAGATAACGTGACCCTGATTGTGAAGGCTCCGAACCAGCAAATAGAAGACCAAAATATCGAGTGTCAAACCTCTTGGACTGTCCGTCAGCTAAAAGGCCACTTATCTGAAGTTTATCCTAGTAAACCGGTAAGAAAATGTATTTTTACCATTATATAATTATAATATCATAATTACTATGCCTGCTGACCATGTCATTTCATCAGTTCATTGTCATAGGAAGTTGAAGAAGATTGTCTTCAAAAGAAAAGCTAGGTGTAAACTATGTGCAAAGCTATGGCCCCTAGTTAATTTATAACTGTATTTAGAACATGTATAAGATTAACAGCAGAAACTTTAGATTTTAATTTATTGCTTTACTACAAAATAATTAAATATAAAATCAGCATATTTTTAATTGGTATTAAAGTTCTTATCAAATCAAAACAATTTTACTTGTTATTTAAAATAACAATGGTTAACTACTTTGTTATCAAAACTAAACTAGATTTTTTTAGTTAAAACTAATTGGTTGCATTATATTATTAAAGTTTTGTTGAAACAAGGTGCTCAAGTTAAGTATTAGATTTAGAAATACTAAAAAAGCTGCATAGCATAATAATTATAGTTTATTACCATAAGTATATTTGCGTAGGTAGCAATTGTTGATAACATTATCTTTTTGTTCAATGTCATTCAATTTTTTTTGTAGATTTTACACTTATGTAAATAATATTTTTGAAGATATTAGATTGATGATGTCATCTTTTTTGTGTATAAAATATAATTGAGGCTCTTGTTCATATACTTTATAATAGAACCTTTGTAGTTATAATGTATATGAGATAATAATGTTTTGTTAAGGATTTGTGTAATTTAAATTTGAAAGGATGATAAGTAATAAAAAAAGTATAATATGTTGATGCTAATAAGTTATCTACAGGAGTATTTTAAACAATGGCCTGTATTTTTTATGGCTATATTCTATGATATCTAAATTCCTCCAATTAGTAATTTCAAATAATATTTTTAATTAAGTAACCTGTCATAAATTATAACTTATTACATATGCAGTAAAAGAAGATATCTTTCCAGAAAACTGAAGAACAGAAAATAATTTATTCTGGCCAGTTATTAGAAGACAACTCATTATTAAAGGATGTTCTGCGAAACTATGAATACCCGATACCTCATACTATGCATCTAGTCTGCACTTCTAAGAACAAAATGGACACACCAGAGCCTAATACAGATGGTCTTCGAAATAGAAATGGGGAGCGTGCAAATGAGACAGCTCCACCAGAAATGAGACAGAATGATCAGAACCACACTGTGGAAATGCAGAATTATTTAAGTTCCTTTGTTAATAATTATGGGAGGGTGCCACCATACCAGAATTATAACTTCAACGATAGATATCTACCAATGCAGCAAGCGTATATGCAGTATATGCAACAGTATGCTAATTTGTAAGTTTACAAATTAATGTTAGATTAAAATTATTTTAAATAATTTAAAAGCTAATAATTTTATTTTTATAAGCTAAAATGAACTATCTCATTAACTCTATAACTGTGTGTTATATTATGTATTGCGTTTATTTTGTAGTTTCAAAAACAGGATGGACATATAATCTTCAATTCCTTGATATAAAGTCTGTAAACAACTTGGCATAAAGAATAAGCCCCTTATTCATAAAAACCAAATCAGACTAAATGCCCTACTAACTAATCTTAACTCATGTATATACTATTTTGTCTTATTCTGTCAAATTGGGTGTGACATATATGACTACTTGAAATAATGCAATGAGGCTGATTTAGATTTTATGAATAAGGTGTTAAAGTTCTTTAAAACCTGTCAAAGCACCAAATTGGATAAGAAGTAGTTAGCTATTTCTGATTATAAAAAACTCAAAAACTGAAGAGTATTCTAATACAATAAATTTATGTAACTTCAGATGGCAAGCCTACGCAGTTAACACAATGCCCCCCCAAGAAGTTCCCCAAGCACCAGCGCCCCCTCCGGCCCCAGCTCCACAGCCGATGCCCGAAGAAGGCCGCGACTGGCTCGACAACTTGTACATGGCGTCGCGTATCGCCGTATTAATCTCGCTACTCTACTTTTATGGTAGTCCAGCGAGACTATTTCTGGTCTTCATACTTGTTGTTACTGGATATCTGTAAGTATTCTTCATACATACCAAATTAATCCATTTGTAAGTATAGCAGCTGGAAACTATTTTTATCTAACTATATTATCTATTCAGTAACGTCTCTATCAATATCTAGTACCTGGATAGTTCAGAAGAGTTAGATTTTGTATATATTGTACCAAATATTGCATGTTACATTTAGAAGTGTACTATGGAAATATTTACTAATTCTTACAAACTTAAAGTAAGTAAATAATTATTCTTATTTCAGACACCAGATTGGCTTCTTCCGCGACCTGCTGGTCAATCCTAATAACAACTTACAACAAAATGATAGAAATCGAGCGAATCAACCCCCTCAAGCGCAGGAGGGTGATCCAGCGCCGCAGGGGGCACAACAGACCCCACCAGAAGGCCCAGAAACGCCAGACCCCTCAAACAACCAAAACCCTCCAGATGATGATCAATCACTGCTAGCGGTAACTTGGACTATTTTTACCACATTTTTCGCTTCTTTAATACCGGAAGCTAATTGATTTTAAAGTTCTAATGTTTACTTTGGTTTGAATTGATTTTTAGATGGTTGGTTTATAGCTTAAAAATTTGTCAAAGGCAATTTTTAAAAAGGAAAGTTAAATTTTGAGTTATTTTTTACGAAGTATCAATTGCTACTTTGCACCAATTGAATTTCGTATCTACACCTAACTGGCCTACTTTGGTGATGATCAGCTGTTATATTTTTGTGAATATATATTTCAATTAAACTGCTTAGAAATAGTCCGTAATTTGTGTTTTTAAAAACTTTAGTACTAAACTATTTGTTGATGCAAGATGTTATTTTAACAACTTACATAATCAAACTAACTTTCAATCAGTCCTACAATTATGCTGTTGTTCTGTAGTATTGTTGTGTATTATGCAAAATATTTCGGCAATCAAAGGGTCAAAAAAATTGTAAATTATTATGTAATTACATAGTATAGTATTTTATTGTTATACAAGTAGCCATTATCTATTGAATAGGTATATACATTTTCAATGGTTAAGATGTATAAAATTATTATTGTTATCCTTTTTTTAAATGGAACAAAACAATTTTAATGCAATTTCTCTAATATATATAGCTTGTTTTGTAATAAATATTAGAAGTTGTCTTCGTTAAATTATAAAGTAAATTGGCATTTAAAATAATGAGTATATTTTAATGTACTGATCCAAAACCAAATATTTAATGTAAATATTTAAATTAGGATTAATTAGTTAATAATTTCGTAATATGAATTTTGGGAATTTCTATATTTAGAATAATAACTAAGAAATGCATGTAAAATTGTTCATTGGTTTTGTATATTATACAATTCTAAAGTGTACCGCTTTCTTGTATCTAATATCTTGGCAGCACATATTGCATATAAATCAGGGATCATGAGTAGGGTTCCTGGCGAAAACATTGGTGGGTATTGAAAGTTGATCATACTTGCATATAAATAATGGAACATGTAGAAATGTGTTCTCCCATTTGATTCTTACTGTACATTGTAATGTGTAAGGTAAACATCATCATCAATATTATTGGTTAAAAGATAATTTTATTTTTCAAATACCTTAATCTCGCTATAAAAGACATTGTTCACTTTCTAGTTATATGAATGCCATAACTTGTCATGACCTTGGTGCTTTAGCTGAATGGCAATTAGTTCTCGGTAATCTGGTACGTGGGCAATGTTAAGGCACGTTGCCAAGATTACAGCGGCTTCGTAGCAAACGGTATATTGGCATCTTTAATCTGAGTCGTTGTGAAAATGCCACACCATTTTTATTTATGCAGAAATAAAAATTTCTGCGTTACATGTTATTTATTCACATCATTATACAAAGATCATCTTGCATTTGTAGCATAAGGTTATTTAAAGTTTATTTTCAACCATCGTGTACTGTGATAAGTATTTTCGTTTGAAATAATGTAATAAATTTTTCGAAATTTAATATTTGTTTATATTTATTGCTCCAGCGAAATTAAGAACGCTATCCTATCCCTATCGCTGTTTGTCAAACGTCGAGAGAAAAATATAACCATACAAATTTTACAAGCACTCAATCAATAAATAACATTAGAACATAAAACTAAAAATAATTTCGCTTTAATTGTCTATTAAAGATCAATTTCAGTTAGTAACCTAAGCCATTCCATGAAATATTTAACTTCTTCAAGTATATTATGAAATTATCTCTTACGCGTCGCTCTAACTTACTTTTGTTTATGGTTTACTTTATACATATTCTTTTTTAGCCTGATACATATGCAATACAATTATTTTTTCACCCGAACATTTTAATTTATTATTAAAAGTCTTCACTAAAATCTACATCCATTAATTCCTCATTTTGTTCATTAACATTAGTTCTACCCTCGTTTTCTGAGCTATTGACGCCATGATTATTTAAATCGCGTTCCAAGTTTATATTATTATCATTTTCTACCAATCCTTGTATTGTACTTTGTATAATACTATTTTCTAAAACTACATCTCTAATGTCTAATCCACTACTACTATTTGATTCATTGTGCTTAGATCCATCATTAAACTTAATTGATTCTATTGTTGCCTCAGAAACATTATTTTTAAGACTAATTCTTGGATTGTCATCACTGATTTGTTCATTAATATTTTCCTTTTCAAAAGAAATACCAGTTTGATCATGGTTTTCGTCATCTGAACTATCCAAAAATTTAGCTTTACGCTGTTTTCCTTGTGATTTAGCTGTTTTCTTATTTAAGTTATCATCTTTAGAGCTTTTATTGAGTGCATTAATTTCATTATCCGACATTTCATCAGAACTGTCTAGAGCAGTCCGCTGACCCTTTTTTTGAAGTGAAACATTTTCTGTTAAATTTTTATTAGGTTCTATTTCTTCATTTTTATGTGCCTGCCCTTCTGTTCTAATTTCATCAGTGTTTTCTTCATCTGAACTAGCTTCCTTTGTTTTATCCTGTATATCATTATTTACCTCACATACATTTGTAATATTAGAATTGTTAGGAGTAGTGCTACTGGAATTATTCAGTTTAGCATGTCGTCTTTCTTCAGCTAGTTTTCGATTGTGAAGCATTCTTTCCTTCTGCTCCTCACTTATTGACAGCGATGATGTAGCCTTAGGCCCCGCCGCCAGTGATCTGTTATCAAACAATATAAGATGAAAAGCATAAGGAGTAACTTTTTAACTTTTATTTACAATTTGTGAAACTTTAAGTGAAATAGTACTGCTAATTGCTATTTCACAATATGTTTATTGATATTTTTAAAATCAAAACAATACAATGATTTAGTCAATTCATTCACAATAAGAAAATATCTATTGCTTATTATATTTTTTAATTTGTGCTGTGGCTACGCACGAGAATATTTTGGGTCTGTCTACACTACAACCAGTCTGTGTGATGCTTTTAACTGTAAAAGATGTTATATTTTGCCAGTAAATATGCAAGTCATACCGATTTTCAACAGAAGTATCAACGCTTCTATTAGCAGGAGCAGGGGTGGCTCTAGCCAACTCTATTTGCTGTTGTAAGAGCTTATCAAATTCATCTGGCTCTGGTTCAGCTGTCTCTTCATCACTGGAGTCCTTCTGTACTACAAGCTCATCAGATACAAATTGATCCGATCTGATCTTTTGGAGATGTACCTGCAATATATTAGGTTACAGGTTGAATTTTACAACTGAGGATTCTTTAGAAAAAAAGACACCTATTCTGTAGAAGTCAAAAAGTAAACATATTACAAAAACTACTGAATACATATTAATCATAAATACCAACATCAAAGTCAGGGAAACACTTCAAAATAAAAAAATCTTATTTATGTTATAGGTACACAACTATAGTATACTGAAAATGTATCTTGGAATGGAATATGTAGTATTATATCATGATATAAATGTACAAATTATTTATTCATTTTGAATTAAATATGTCTTTAAATTATCCAACAAGCCTCAGGTGAGCAAGAACTTTACATTTACATATAAGTAAGACTTACCATAACAGGGCGTTTCTTTCCTAATGTCTCTATTTTCTTTAAGCAGTCCTCAAACTTAAATTTAGGATACAATCTGTATGCCCAGTGCTCTAGTTTTTTTAAAACAAGATCTAAATCTTCCTTTTCATGACCTTTACCTAGATATTTCATTTAAATGAAAACATATATAAAAACTCAGTAGTATAGCTCTATTAACAATTACTGCATAACAAATTCAAGAGTAGGAATATTCCTTGCATATCACTGACCTTTGAATTTAAAATCTTTGAAATGTTCAGGAATTACTTGTATTCCTCTGGGACCAGTAAGTCGGGCAGGATTTAGTATAAACCTTGGGTTTTTTACTACTCTCTTAATTTTAGTAGATCCAGGATCCACACGCCTTTTATCTTCTTCTGTAAATAATAAGCAACTCTATTTTCAATTGGAAGATACGAAGATTGGAAGTTTTGAAGACATTGTTTTTCTAATCTAATTATTACTCACATTACTATAATACTAGTTAGCATTAAATATTACTAGTACCTGCTTCGTCTTCTTTCTCACTATTATCATCGCTATTGGAAACAACCCTCTCTTCATAATCACCACCTTCAATAACTCTTTCTAATTCTTGGGCTTCATTTGCCTCATCTTGCAGAAAAACGTCTTCAAGTAACGACATTGATAAAGTATGAGAAAGCTGGGATATAAAAAAAATTGAATATATAAACAAAAACAAATTTCATGGCCTTATAAGAATATTGCTCTCCTGTTGGCTGTTACTGTTAAGAATCAAAATCATATATTAAAAAAACACAATTTAATCATTACTATTATTATAAATTGTAATAATTACTAACCAATAATAAAATTTGAAAAATTACTTGAAATTGTGCTTAGTGCTATGCAGTATGCTCAGTTGAAAATATCGAAATATCGACCAATCACAAAGTATATAAATTTTATCGAATTTTAACACTACAGAATATCTTATGCCAACCACAGTACACAAGCTGTATGGATAGGTTCGGTATCATGACAAAATATGCTAAGCTAAGTAAGTAAACCGTACTACGGTAGTCACCCTAAGTGCTAAGTGTTGTTTCTGAATCTCAACCGTAACGCTAAGTCTGCCTCCCTACTTTCGTACGTCATAAATGTATTGGACTGTGAAATATTAAAGCCATAGTTCGCTTAAGTCTCATTCCTAAACCTATTAACCCTTTGTTTTGTGTAAGGCGAAACTACAGCCTCGACTATGAAGAGACTACCGTAGTGTAAGAAAATGCAACGCAAATTTCTATAAAATTTATTGTATTTCAATTTGCATGCCTGATCAACTATCATCACAGCTGACAAACAATCAAGCGGAACTCTGAGGACTTAGGGTAAGGTTCAGAAACTATACTTCGCACTGTGATTCCCGTACAATACATTTAGTATTGGTTTTTGACATACGGGAGTCATCGTTCGCGCAAGAGTAGGGTTCGCATCCTGGGTTTGGACCTCTCTATATTTTAATCCGTAGAATAAAAATTTACTGAAAAGGGTAAAACTATTATTTGACGTGTCAAACCTGTATTTCTATTGAATCTTCCTATTATGACCAAAAACAGCTAGAATAATAAAAATCTTCATAGAAATAAAATTACTCCAAGAACTTACCATTAACACCGATAATTTATACTATTATAATTTAAGGTTGAAAACTGTTAATACGTTTACTAGAAATGTACATTTAAATCCTTACATCGTAAACATTATTCATCATTAACGCTTTTTCTTCTATAGTTCCTGTATTTAGTATTATATTATTTAGTTGTGTTTTACTAATAACACTGGCCATTCGTTGAATCGTAACTAATGAACAACTTTTATTAAAGATTTTGAGGTACATCCCTAGCAAAGTCACGTGATCAGCTTGCGTTTGAGAGCGCATTTCACAGGTATGGAAATTCGCAAATTTTATTGAAAACCGTGTAATAATCCAATTAAATAGCTACCCAAAAGGTAAAAATATATAGCAAAGCATTAGAAGTGTAACGATGTGATTGTTAGTTATTTGTGAGTTGTGGCGAACAAGGATATTTCCTCAACAAAGACTGTCATTTTGATACCAAGAAAGGTGCTTCAGGAATGGCGTCCCCCACATGTGCCGCCTATTATATTTCGTCTTGGTTCAATGTCTTTGAAATTGATGACGTTTGCTTTTGCTTTACGTGAGAACTTTTCGTTTGCATAAATCTGAATGCAATTCCCTTGTAATCTTCGAGTTTTTAATTGGTGTCGGCTCGATGCCCGATAGTTTAAAATGATTCATTGTGCAGTTTTTCTCAAATTCTATCAAAGCAGGTCTTTTCGAGTTATATCAAAGCATTATGATATCATAAATCTGGTTATCAACGGAAGATAGTGCATACATATCACCATTTGTTTTTTACTCAAATGTTTTGTTTACCAATCAAGCTTGTTTCTTAAGTTTGCGCGTCTAATAATTATTCATTTAACTATTTTCTATTTTATATAGTAACTAACAATATCAACTGTATATTTTACAGTTTATTGACTTTTTACTTTATGGTATCTTAATTGTTTCCATTGTAGATAAACAAAAATATCACTAATTATTGTGCAAATATTATGGTTTAAAATAGATTACTCATTTTCTGAAGTATCTTTAAAATTATTAATTAAAGTTATAATTTAAAAAAAGTAATTTTTAACATTTGGAAACGACTATAATATTATTATTTACCCTAACATTGAGAAATTCATAAAGTAATAATAGTTGGCCTAATAAGAAAAAGCCAATTTTTTGTAATGAAGCTTGGTCTTAAGTCATAATTTCACTTATCAGATATTTTTCTGAAGCTCCTAGAATACATACATACATAGAATATTAGTAGTATACCTATATAGTAGCTTTGAATGTAGACAGCCTTCTTGCATAAAATGCATTCCTTTGGCTGAAGAACAATACAATGATCAGTATTACTAAATTATCATGCAGTTTAAGAGTATAATCTCCCTTAATGCATGCATCATTTATATTATGCTGAAGTAAGGTAATATGAAACCAGAATCAGAGCTGTATACATTCAACCTACTTTTCTAATGCAATAACACTGCTTTGTAGACTGTTTCTTAGTACACATTCTGCATTTATCATTTATGACTCAACTGTTTCTTAGAACTTGGTGTTTCAAAAATAAAGGTTATAGTTTAAATTAATCACTATCAATCAATAAAAATATTATATTCACAATTATTTCACTTTTAATATTGTTTCAGCTGCTTGTAAATAGAGGCTGTATATATAAGATAGGTCATAATGAGTTTGGGTGCGCGCGCCACCAAGGGTGGTGCAAAGGGAAAGGAGGGAAAGCAACAGGAAAAAGGGAAGCCAACAGATAAGCAACATCCAAAAGAAAAGGCAAAGCCACAGGTCAGTCATAAGTTTTTTCTTTTATATCATATGTTATGTGTGTCATATCACATCATTGGTACTTTCTTAAATTCACTCTCAAATATTTTGTCTGAACCATTAAAACTATATATATGTAAACATAATGATTTGTAGTTAGCATGAAAAATTTTATAAAAAGAATAGAAGCATGTGTATAGTATAGTGTATTTTGTATTTATCAGTCGGTAAGATTTAACTCATTACAACTGAGATTCAGTCCATGTCCAAAGAGTAATTTAACCAGGCTTTAAAAAAGCAGTAGTATATTTATAATATTTATTTCCAAATTTTGTTGTAGTTTTAAAAAAAATTACCCACATGAATACAGAATAAAATATTTGTAATTGCCTTTGAAATAAATAGTTAAAAATTGATTGAAACAGCCTTTAGCAAAAGTATAATTCTATAATAAAGTATGTATAAATTACAGGCAACCACAGAACAACTCCGTCTTGCAAACATAGTTGACCGTAAAGGCGAGGAAGCTGATGTTCGCAGAATGGTAAGGCATATCTATATATTTTAATAGTAAACAATTATCATGTATTAAACAACACTAAATACTTCATGTATCAACAATGCAATGGCTTCCTTAATACTAATGCCTCAAAAGATAGAGACTGCATCAGAGAATCCTCTGACGCAATTACAATGTAATCTTGTGTGCAAATATGCCACAGGAGAAAAGCAACAGCTACATGTGCCAAAGTTGCCGATCTGAGTTTGGGCCATTGGTTGTGTTAATGTCAATCCGACACCAATGGAAAAATAAAGGTGTAATCACCAAAACCACTGAAAGTGTCTAGTCGGCTGCGTTGGTCTTACCTACTGTATCCCTTTGACCCACAAGCTTTTTAAAGAGTTATAAAATTACATTTATCTCAATTCTTATCATAATCATTTTACTTTTATTGTCTTTGTGTGTTTGTATACATTAATTAATAGAAATAAGATAATTTTTATAAGTAGTCAAAATTGAGTCCTGCATTTAAATTTCGTTTCAAATTGCAACTGCTATTAAATGCAGTAATGCTTACCTTGCATACCAAATTTCAAGCTGAAATTTGTCAAAAAGCAAAAAGTAATTTAAACAGTTACAATTTGGTTTATATCTGCCCTTGACATGTTACAACTTGACGTAATAGTGCACTACAGTGAAGGGTAAAATCAATACTCACTATTTGTATGTACTTATGTTTGTCTGATTACAAACATAAGTGGATTATTGGAGCACCATCAATTTAAAAAGATGCACTTTTGTAACCTTTGCTGATATTCGTAACTCTTTTAACATTGTCTCACATCTTTATATGTATTTTGTAGGGGTGTCAATAGGTAAAGTAAGCTATCCTAGATAGCTTTAGTGCGGATATTGGTTAACATATTAAATGAAGAATTTGTATGTTACGCCAGAAATTGTGTGATACATACTGCAAAATAATTAAGTAATGACAGCAAAAGAACTTTTAGTACGGTACATAGGTTTTAAATTTCTACTTACACAAAAGTAGATTTTTTTAAAATGATATATTATATAAGTTTGTCTAGTTATGGTTATCAAGTTATGTAATGTATGACTAACATTGATATTGATTAGTGTATAAATAAATGCTTATTAAATTAGTTTTCAATCCTCATTAAATTTTCATACTTTTACAAAAGTTGGAACTGCAAATTGTTCCCATTGCAGGTGACAGAGCTGATGGAGATGACATGCAAATCTGAAGAAGAGGTGTGTTCTGCTCTGCACGACACTGATAACGACATGGATGCCGCCTGTAACTTGTTGTTAGAAGAGAGTGCCAGGATACAGGTAAAAATATCGTTAAAGTTTGACTAGAATTATCACTTTAGCAGGGCATTACTTACTATTTACTGCAGGCATTTTTGTTTCTATTAATGATTAAAGAGAATAATCATAAGAAGGGTAGAGAGTAATCATCATCCAACATATTTCTTGTTCTTCAAAATAATTCTAATAAACAATATTCATAAGTATTAAACATAGGCATGTTATAATATTTTAAGAAAGCACGCTCTTTATCAAAATTTTCTAGGTATATATATATATAACTAGACATACTCTGAAAGACTTGAAATTACCAATTGACCTATTTAGCTGCTGTAGCACTTGCAAATTTAAAGTTATTTAATTTATTTGCGGATACAGAGTGAATGGCAGACAAATGAGAAGAAGAAGAAAAAGCCACCAGCCCCATCCGGCAACGGCGAAGTGGAAGTTGTGAAGGAAGGACGCGAGCCCCGTGACGCCAGGGATCCAAGGGGCCGCTCTGGACCTAGACCACGTTAGTATAATATTAGAAAGAAAAATATTCTGGGTTATTGCTGTATATTTTCTCTTAACAGTGCAGTTGTTTGGCCCGTGGTCTACCTTACATACCATTTAATAAATAGTTGAACTTGATTTTATATAAACTATTATGTACTTTACATGTCTGAAAATTTTAAATCACAAATGTTCTTTATATATTTTTTTAGAATTCGTTTCTCCATAATTAAATAGATATAGATTGTTATTTAGGTAATAATATTTAGATTTAACTTTAATAAAGTTTGATAGTTACGCCATGTACGGCAGAGTTGTTTTTGATGTGAAATATCAGTACAAATCACGCAGGTAATCACGCATATTTATTTATTTATACTTTATTACCTTATACAAAAACATACACATATAAAAAAAAAGCAGGTTACATAAGTTATTAGGCAACGGGCGGCCTTATCGCTAACAAGCGATTTCTCCCAGGCAACCCTGATAACAAACTCAGAACAAACAAACAAAACCACTCATAATGATAATAAAATAAAAATGATCATGACAGGTCGTGGTGAAGGCGAAGGCATCCGCGGCCGGGGCTCTGGTCGCGGGCGGGGAGTGGCTCGGGGAGGCCGAGGGGGCAGAGGGGGCAGACGCGGAGGCGGAAGGGGTGGAAGAGACAGGGGGGAGAACTGGAACAACGGTGATAATGGTAAAGTTTTTAATTAATGCATTTGATTAGAGAGTTGCTTAACGGGAGACATGATTTCATATGTAAAGTCGGTGAAAAGAAAATAAATAAAAAATATTTAAATTTAAATTACTTTTACATTTTGTTTTGACGAATTGACTTATATTATGTTAAATACTTTCAGGTGGCAACATGGGTGATTCGTTCCCGACGACAGAAGACTGGGACAACGAAGAATGGTCTGGTTCTCTATCAGATACAAAGGTCGGTATATTATTATGATGATTTGATGAAATGTAGCTTCTCAAAGTTATGTCTAAAATATAAAGTTAAAAACAGATTCAAATAATATATTAATAATCATATACAACAAAATATAAAAAAATAATTATCTTTTAGTTACTAATTTAACTTTGTTACGGTGTGAATTGATGATTTATTTAGCCCATAAAAATTTTGAGAGTGGGAATGTAAAACAATGAATGAATGGTGTTTTCTTTGTTCCTGTAAATGTTTTTGATTGGACTAGAGGTGTTATCTCAGAATCAAACAAATAGCATCTTGAATTTGTCTTACGTTTTCACTCTTGTTTTGTTTATTCAAGCCATAGAAGTGAAATTTCATTGATATACACATTCATCTATTTGAGAAATAGTATTTAAACGTCTCACGTTTTATTTGGTTGTGCTTTGTTGAAACTTCGCTTTAGACTTGGCTATGGCTTTTTATTAAAATTAACCCTGTATAGGCACTGACAATTCGGTTATATGCATGGACAGAATGGATTGAGCAATCTTTACATAACTATTATTTCTTACAATAATCACAATTATTTTACATTCGAATTTTCAGTGGGTTTGTCATTGTGGCAACATACAAGAAACGGCATGATAGTGTTTTGTTCTGTTGCCTCAATGACGCCCATTGATACTTTGAAATGTAAAATAATAGTAATTATTGGCATAAGTAAATAGTTGATTCTAACAAAAGCTTAGAAAAGGAAGACAGCTAATTATGATGGTTGTCTCTTTCTAATATCACCTTATCAAACAGTTGATAAATTATAATGTATCTATTGGGATTGGGCTTGTTTTTATTCCTCATATCAGTTGTAATTGCAATGAGTGGTAGATGTCCAATAAAAAATTACTGCTGTCAGTTGACACACAACAGAAAACAATGGTGTGTTTTTATAGAAAAATCAAGAGCGCAAGAAGTAATTACTAATTAAAATTTGATTAACAATTTGGCAATTAGCTTTGCTCAATCGATTTTCTGTCTATGGTTATATGTGACTGTACTGAGTAGTGTCTGTACGTAGGTGTTCACTCCGAGTTCCTTGGCACAGAATGCAGCTGACGGCAACGGAGCGCCTGCGCAGGTCACGGCTAATGTGAGTTCTTTTCTTAAAAAAAGTTTCGTGTTTGGCAATAACAGTACAAATACTTCATGTTTGTATGTAGCATCTTAAATAAGTTCTGAATATCTCGTGTCACAAATGAAATCTTTTATCGTTATTCAATTGTCGTTGGTTGTTTAATGCAATTAATTATTAGCTTCTAAAGACAAAAGATATCTTACAACCGATGAAAGATATCAACATCAACCTTTAAAGAGAAAGCAAAGTAGTTAACAATTTTTAAGAGGCGGTTTAAGTGATCGGTTTTCTCAATGCGCATCGTTGGAACCAATAAACGTTTTGGTTGAATGCAGCAAACTCACGCGCTTATTATTAGATTAGATTATTAATGAGACAGTGCACTGGTTCTCTGTATTAGAGATGACAAAATCCCTTACTTACCAGTCTTCTGTTTGCAGGAGGATTGGGAGGTCCCAGAATCGAATGGTCCCACAGAGGGCCATATCCCTACATACACGTATCATAACACCCAGCAACAGCACTCCAATATAATCGAGGTGAATTATTTTACGGTTAAATATCCAAAAAATAAAATATACGTCTTGACTCTTGCCAACCTTGCCAAAGTATTGCATAGAGGGAGAATGTTAGTGTCACTCTTTAAAATCTAACGACTCCTACGAACTTTTGTTGAGATCTTATTCTGAAAGTGCCATATTACTTTGTTTTTTCAAAATTGTTAATGGGTCCATATCGCCTTATAAATAAAAAAATTGAATACTTAAGTTGTCAAAAATGATAGTTGGGATTTAATGTTAAAATTTTGTTTTGTTTTGTTTCTTTTGCTGTATATTTAATATTTCATTGTTTTATACGAGACATCAGCGCCGTCATGGTTTTCTAATTGGCTTTACCCCAATGCAAAGGGTTTTTAAGCAAGTCTGATTCTATAAGTTAATTATACCTATAATTTACCATTACAAAAATTGTATCAATAAAACATTGAATTTTTGTTATGGGATCTCTATTGTTTTGTCTTCATCTGTACCAATAACGACTAGAGTCTGGCTAATGAAAGAAGATAACGAAAAAGCGCGGCAAATTAAAAAAAAATAGTATGGTATCCCTAATAGTTTGATATATTTTTTGGATTAAACTTACTTGATACTTGATTTTATTATTTTTTACATTGATAGTAACTGTATTTCTATGAAATTAAATACTATACGTTTTAGTCTTTTACTATTGATACTTAAAATGACTAGCAACTGCATGGAAAACTAAAACTATATTTTTTTTGATTTGAATAATCAAATCCTGCGAAAAAAACGAAATATTCTATAAATACATAATAAATAACTAAAAAAAAATTAGGCTACCTGTTGACTATTCTGAAAAAATATATAATAGAAATAAAACCTGAGTAATTGCATGAAGTATCAAGACTAAGAATAAATCATACTAACCTAAGAAATTCAATGACATTCTGTGTTGCCATCCGAAAATTTACAAATAATTCAATTATATTCTTTTATTAGCCAGACTTTACTTATTTATTTCGGTTAAAATTCACATAATTCTATGTCAATTGAGTGTTCGAGTTGAACATGGGAATATGTTTTGTGACTCGAGACTAAATTAAAGTGAATTTCAGCAACAAATGGTGTCCGTCCCCGGTGGTGTACCAGCGACGGGTGGTCCGGTGAACGTGCAACCAGCGCCACCTGTTGCTGCAGAACCGGTCGATACTTACCACCATCATCAGGTAAAGTATATATTACTCTTATATACTTCTATCTTCCCACGTACAAAATAAGCTTATACGTTGTATCCTGTAGTACTGGGAGGAGATTTTCTATAAAATAAAGAATGTATAACCGAAGTCGATAGATATTTTTAAGAATGTTTGACTTTATGTTATTACTAGCAGACCGGCCAAGCGTTGCTGTGGCTAAGGTTTTTGTTATATTACATGGGAGCAAACTATTCAAGGGAAACGGTAGGAGAACACCAGTCATGGGGACCATGCTTTTTTGGTGGTTATGCCATTAAATTGTAGTTTATGTGAAACGTTGGTACTTTCAACACTGCGCCAATAAATAATATTACGGGTATAAATTGGGATGTAAGCTATCCTATCTTTCTATATCCGGACAAACAACGTGACACGTAATTTATATATATTAAGATAGTTATATGGAAGATATGTATTTAAAAAGTCAATTTTATTCTGTTTGAAGTTTCCGAGTTTATTCTAGGCATAGATACTTTACCTACTGGCTAAACTTTAAATTACATTGCTTTTTTTAACCAACTTTTAAAGTCCCAATAGGCATAAGGATAAGAATTCAAAGTTAAGAATTGAGGTAGCTTCTTGAGGCTAGTACGCGAAAAAAATATGCTGAAAAATCATAAATATTTTATTAAATTTTGATTTAAATTCCTATTCAGAATCATGACAGCATTGCCGATTTTCATTTTCAGTAGCGGTGTTAAGGTACCCGGAGTTATTAAAATTTATAGAGTACTTGCAATTAGTAGGAAATTAGAAATATATTTTTTTTCAGCCAATGGGAATGTCTGGCAGTTTGAGCGCGGCGCAGTCGCAGTACTTATCGCAACTGACTCATCAGGCTCAGAGGCATGAAAACAGTATGTATACTTATGTAATTAATAACTTATAATGAAGCAATGTAAATAAAGTATCCTTGAAATGGAGATATTAAGAAAATAAATATGTTTGTACTATAGTATTAAGTTTTTTCAGTCTTAAATCAAAATATCTTACTGAAAAAAAGTATTTTACTTTTACTCTATAGTTTTATTTCAAAGATCATGGAATTAAAAATATAGTTGAGCACCAAAAAATAAAATTACAGTTTATTAGTATCTTTATTTTTTAAGTTATGTTAAATATGTGTACTATATTTTCTTTGATGAGTCTCCTAACTTATTAAACTTGAAAATAAATCATAGCATAATCTATTTATTTAGATATACTGGTATATTGAGGCGGTGATCAGGGCTGGAATATTTTTGTTAACTTATGAATAAATGATCGTAATATTGTACTTGTGTAGGTGTGTACGCAAGCAACTACGGTGTGTATGGGTCAGCTGATTTGGCCAGTCAGAGGAAACCGCAGAGAGCAAGGGTGCCTCCGCCTTCTAAGGTAATAATTATTAATAATATACAATACGTAGAAACTTTAGTAACTAGACAGTAAAATATAGTGCTTAATATTAAAGTTGGGAAAAGGTAGTCTCTAAACTCAAATGTCCTCCCCGCCTGGATACTATCTCTCCTATCCGGGATACAAATGGGAACATTACTATGTGCTGCGGGCTGGAGCTTGCGTGTACATCAGGAAGTATATTTGTTCTCGCGGCCTGAGGACGCTTGAAGGTTTGGATTTATCTATCCTCTGGCTACGCGTAGACTGCGATGACCATCAGGGTTCGCCTACCTGCATAGGTCCCATAGCCGAAATCGTGATACATGGCGACTTTAAAACCCACCATGCCTACTGGCTCGGCTCTGATACCACCGATCAGGCTGGTAGGTCTTTTCATGACTGCCTTGTCATATGACCTGAAACAAATGGTTCCCGTAATTACTTAATTATTATTTTTATTAAACTAAATGAAGGTAGAATCTATTTAAGTTGTTGCAATTTGTTAGACCGTAGTAAGTGTGAACTTCGAAAATTTTTAAGTCTAGTTTTCAATTTCATCATATTTTTGAGTTTTTAGCCATTCTACTAGTTTTATTTTACATTCATAGATATTATAATAATAATAATAATAATATAGCCTTTAAATTCCGAAACTCTGTAATTTTATATATCTGAACTTTAATATATTTTCACTCCAGTATATCTCGGAGTTCGGTGTGCCTCTTGGCAAAGGCCTCCTCTAACCCTTTACACTGTTTTCTATCTTTTGCGACTCTTTTTAGTGATTCGCTGTTCTTAAAGTCCTAATATTGAGGGATGCTATATATATATTATGTTTTTTTGTTAGAGGGTGGTGGTCTGATCTTCCCGCGGCGACCAACCGTGGTGGGAAGGCTTCTTGATTAGGTTGTTTTAGAATGTGTTTCTTCCATATTTGTTTTGCTTTTCCGGTTTTAGTTGTTGTTGTTTTGGTTTTGATAGGTTGCTCGCGTGTGTTTGTTAGTTTTTTTGAAATGTCGGAGGTCGAAAACGATCTATCTCTTCCTATATATTGTAGTATGTTTGGTTGTAATATTTCTTTTTGTTCTGCATTGTTAGTTTTAGTCGATGTGTTTTCAAACTTGTTAGATGTGTTCTGTTTTTTCTGTGTAGACAAGTTGGGAGATACAGCTTTATCTCTCTTCCTTTTTTCGCGCTGGTTATCCTGCAGTTTTTTAATCACCAATTGGTCTCCTCTCAAAAAAGATTTGTTTCCCATTTTCCATTCTTCCTCTGTTTTTGGCTGTAGTTGTTTTCTAGTTTCTAGTACCTTCTTGGTGGGGTTCTCTTTTTCAAATGTGCCATTTAATACTATAAGTTTGTCGTATCTTATAAAAGCAGTATAGCCTTTCTCCTTTTCTTTCTGTAACTGGACTTGGAGTTCCTTCCGCCTGTTAAGGACTTCAATCGGATAATCCTCCTTAATGTAGTACTGAGTATTTTCTAGACAGGATTTGTTTTTCAGAATATGTAACTTGTAACTCATGCTGTTAAACGTTATAACAACCGGTCTTATGTTATCACCTTTCTTTCCCAACCTTCTGACAAGTTCAATGTTATTTTTGTCACATTGAAATTCAAAGAACATGTTTATTATATTTACTATAATATTCTGTAATTCAAAATAAGTATTCTCACTCTCTTCTACTCCGAACATGACTAGGTTCTTTCGTCGTGAATGCCTTTCTAAGTTATTTAATTTGACTTTTTGTTCTTCAATAGTTTTTCTAATTGTTCGTTTTTCAATTCAAGGTTTACAAATTTCTCGTGAATGTTGTTAATTATTATGTTTTTTAAATCCTCTTTCATGTCCAACATATCTTGTTTTTGTTGTTTGATGTCTTGCTGTAAGTTCAGTAACATTTGATGAATTTTTTTCATAGTGTATCAGTGCCCTCTATCCGAAGAAATATGAATTTTTCAACGAAGTTAAAATTATTATCGATAAATTTATATTTTCCTAATTCTAGAAATTTTACTAGATGGGGGCGTTTTGACGTATTTGTCTTACAATATTTGTTTTGCAGGAGCAAATAAAATCCATAAATAGTGTAAGTCAGATTATTCGAACTTGGACCGCTTATCACTTAGTCGATACCCTTATATAAGTGGCTATCTGAGATTATGATGAACTGAACCAATGTTTGGTATAGTAGATAATTTTGTAACCAGTTCATATGGATGACTAATATCTGTTTAATATTTGTATTTCGTTTTGCACTAAGATTTTTCAGAAGACAATTTAGTCACTTTTAGCACAAGACGTCACAACCTCACACAAATGCAACAGTGTCATGAATCCGTTTGATTGTTGAAAGCGTGGCACGTCAGTTGAAGCCTCGTTAAAACACTTTAAAAACCTGATGTGTTTCGTTCTCTTGAGCACTGACTATACATTTATCTATTACTTTGTAGTATTATTAGACGTTTTAACACTTATTAAAGTCGCATTGATCACAAGTAGTATTTTTTTAAAAGAAAGACAGCACGGAGCCTATGTAGGTAGTTGCGCCGCGAGCAACCGTCACGCGAGTACTCCATTCATAGATATTAAAGGGATAAATATTCAGGATTTTATTCAGCTTATTGTACAATGATCTTATAGCTTGCAAAGCCATAAATTAATAATAAACATTATAGATACCATCATCAGCGGTAGAAATGCCAGGAGGTGGCGAAAGCGGTGGCGGTATATTCCTCGATGTACAATTTGGTGCTCTGGAACCTGACACCCTGGACACGCCCCAACACACGCCACAGTCACAAGTGGGCCAGCAGGTCGCTCAAGTCCAACAGGCGCCCACGGCACACACGCCGCCACAGCCCACGCAGCCCACACAGCCCAGCGTACAGTCCATGAACGCGCAGCCCGCGCAACAGCCCCACACGCCGGTGCAGCAGAGACCCAAGCAGGTAGATATTTAATCATGTTTTCTTTTCTTTTTCGGTTACAACAAAAGAGTAGGATCAATGTGCCTATCCATAACATGACGATAAAAATAATCTAAAAATTATTAGGAAATTTTAATTACTGGACTCTAAACTATGATTTTGATTTTAACAGATTTTTATGCTATTTTCGTTTGACACACAAACTTAGTCGATAATATGAAAAAGTCTAAAGTTATATTATATCGTTACGCGAGTCGTGAAAATTTTTACCACCTTAGTATTCCATCTATAAATCATCCCTATAAGGTTATTTCCATATGTTACAAGACAGTAAAAATTAAAAAAAAAATAGAAATATAAATAAAAATTCAAGTGTTGTAACATAGGAAATTTCTTAATGCCACACAAACACGTAACTCGGTATTATTGCTGACCATAACGCAAAACATAAAATCTAAAAAACCAATTAGGCCGACCACAATAATAGGAAAAATAATAAATTGTATTGTACATAAATATTTTTATATATACTGTTGTATCTATGTTACAATAATGTATGATAGTACGCCTCGCAGGTGACGTCACAAGCGGAGCAGCCGGTCGCGACTAGTCACGACACGGTTTCTGAGGCGTCTACACCCACATATCCCAATTCTAATGCTATGGTGAGATATGGCTTTAGTTTTGCTAATCTTTACCTTAGTTTTATTTAAGCGCGTTAGCTTTTAGGCCGTGTGACATCGTGTAGGTTTGAGCGAAATTAGAATATTTTTATTTAAATTGTAAGAAAAGTTAATTTAACAATATGTTACAATGCGATAGATGGTATAGCGAAATATTACATTTATTGTTGTACGTTGATCACAAGGTTCAGATTTTTGAGCCCATTTTGAGAGTACATTCAGTATTTTTTTATTATGTTTAAATACATTTTTGTTTAATATTTCACTTTTTATTTACACTATAGTTACAATATTATTTCAGTTAAATGAAAGCCTAAATGCTGTGGATTCAACAAACATAAGTCAGCCAACCACTGCCGAACCTGTCGTATCCAATACTACATGTAAGTTAATCTATAATATTGTTGTTGTTTTGACACCATACCCCTACATAATGGAAAATTAAAATTATCTAAACCTGATTATTTTTTCTTTACACACATTTTAGTGTTTCATTTCAATATTTAATTTACATAGAGTTAATAAAAGATAGAATTTTGAATGACTCGGTCTTAATGTATATATCTTAAGAGATGTGGTGCAACTTATAAGTTGTTATAAGTTATTAAATTACTCTGATACGGCTTTAATTTGATGTGTATGCGGTTTCCAGCCATAGAAAAGCTGTCAGCGTCCCTAGCAGCGGCGGTGGTAGCGGACACAAGTGCGAGTAGCGCAGCGCAGTCCATGCAACACCACCATCAGCACTATGCGCATCACAACCATCGGACGAAGGTAATGAGGGTAGATTTTGCATATTGTATGAAATTTAAAAAAAAAATTAAATCTTGTCATAGCAGTAATTATTTGATAATAATAGAATTCGTTGATACTTTGAATAGTCAGGATAACTTCATACTTTCATTAGGAGTTTGTGTGTTGTGTATCAGCGCTACGAATATTAAGAGAACTTTATGGAAATTCTATACTTAAACGTCGTTTTCGCTGTTAGAGTTACAAAGTGCCGATGCCGGTTTTTGAGTTTCACCGAAGCGTGTTTTCATTAGCTGTTGACTCATTTTAGTGATGGATATAAAACAGGTTTTTCTGTTTATGTGTGGAGGGTTTTGTCTAGTTAATACTTAAGAACAAATCCTACCCTAAAAAGACATCCTAACAACAAATTAACACAGTAAATATAAAGGACTACTAGACTAAACTCTATTTTTAACTAATATAACAAAAACACAAAATAAACTTCCATTATTTTAATTGTAGAACAGGGCTATTTTCCAACTGAGAGACTGGTGATCTGACTGGTCAAAACTCCCCCCTTATTAGTTTCGTAATCATAAATTTGATAGTTATTGTTATTTCGTATTTCGCAGCCGGTGACGGGAGCTGCGACCGTATATCCAAGCGGCGGTGTATCGCATCATCCATATGGCTCAGCATTATATGCGCCACAGGTATTATATCATTATAAGCTTCCAAATATTATTAGCTTTTATTAATGGTAACCTTTCTCGAAAAACAAAATTATTTAAGTTGGAGCAACTATTGGTGGGTTGGACGCCATCTTTAATTTAAAAACTATTATAATATTATTATATCAATTATTATGTAATTAGTTAATATTGGGTTTTACACTACACTATTTTTGAAGTTATAGTTCATTAGGCGCGTTATGAAAAATTGATGAGAGTGAAATTTTACGATGCGCGCGCACCGTGACACAAAATTAGGAGTGTGATTATAGCGTGCGCGAGCGAGATAGGAATAAGACAATCTACAAGTAAAAAGAAATAGAATATGCGTGAAGTTCGTATGCCAAGAATTTTGAATGACCATAATGACATTTGTCATTTACCTTTTAAACAAATAAAGGAGTTTTAATTATTTTTTCAAAGAAATTTAGCAATGCTTTTTGAATTATATATAATCAGAAGTGATTTAAATTGAATATTTAAACCAATACTAATTAATATTTGTGAAAAAACTGTGCTCATCAACCTTCCTAAGTGCTTCATTACAATTGAGGTTAATTATCAGTTTGTATTATTGTTACCACATTGTTTAATCAAAACATGTAAATTTTCTGATTTTATCTAGCAAATATAAGGACAAGAGACAAAAAACAATTGATGAATCAGTGTAAGTGCACTAAATTGAATACAAAAAAAGAGTTGTCATCTTATCGCTGTGAAACATCAAAAACTGGAGGTGGAACAAAGCCAAACTATTTTTAATAATGCCAAAGAAGTATAACTTCTTACGCGCGTACATAAGTACACGCACCCCTTTTTTTTTAAATAAAATCTATAAGAAAAAAGGCTGCTGTGATTGCCCTGTTAGAAAAGTACTACCTATGGTTTTAATATAGAAACCGGTCGATAACTTATTTAGCCTTGCATTTATTTCAGCTTGTCTTTTCCATTGCATCTTGTGTACTATCATAATGAAAAGTAAGCGGTGACATCAAAGATTTTTTTAATACGTTTATTTTATTTTAGGTAAACTCAAGCTCAGGATCTCTAGCGGGAGCGGTAGCAGGCGCTGGCGTGGCGGGCGTTGCGGCGGGCGTGGGAGCGTCTCATGCGGCGCCTATCAACCCTGCCCCATACCCGTCTAGTGTCACGCTCACTACGTACCAGCCAATAATGAACTCTTATCAGGTACAAGGTTCATCTATAATCTACCTAAGTTAATAATATTGGTAGCTCAGTTATTGACCGTATTCGCTCACAATGATATTAAGATTGTGGGAAATGTACCGAATGTGTATGTAATGTATCCGCTTGGGAAATAATAGTTAAGATTTTTCATAGAGAAAAAAATTCGTTGAAACTTCTATATAGAGTGGGGTATAGTTTTTTAAACCTTTAATAAGGAGTTTGGTTTTTATTTTTGTTCTCTTACTTAATGTAGGAACATTGAACATTGTAATATACGTATAATTTTATTTCGTTAATTGTTCAATCGTAGTTGGACTCGTAGGTGTACCAAGCTTGTGGTAACTTTGTATTTAAATGTGTTGTATCTGTCAGATTTTTAAATTATAATCTATCCTTATTTCAGCAAACGTCCTCAACTGCGGGAGTGTATGGTGGAAGTGCTCTATACACTGCGGCGCCTTACACGCCTTACCAACCTTCGCAGTTGCCGACCAAACACAAGGAACAAACACAGGTACGATAGACGTTTTGTGAAGTCTTGGTGTAAATTTCCTAATAATTCAATTTGCAGTTCTTCTATATGCAATGTTTACTTACTTCAAATTCAGGATAAAATATTTACATAAACTGGTATTTGACTATGATGTTGTAGTCAAAAGAAGGTAAAAGTCACATAGATTCGATTTTAATCATTAATATAATATTGACAAGTATAATTAAAAATAATAATCGGTTTATTTTTTCTTAATTATGTTTTATCTGCTGTGCTTTATGTAAATCTCGCCTAATATGAAAATTAATGTTCTTTTGTCTATATGAAATCGTATTAACTGGGTCTTAATTCAAGAATTATTTATCTAAGAATTCATTTATTTTCAACAATTTTAATTTTCAGTACGACAACTCAGTTGCGTCAAGTAACAGTTTAACGAACGCGGCAACGACGCAACAGTCGTCCACTGCCAAAGTTGTTACAACTACGGGTGAGTTAAATTATCTTTTCCATTTTGAAGTTTCTTGTATTTTATAAGATTTATTTTACCAATAGTAACATGTACCGTTACCTTTAGTAACTAAGTCCCAAATAACTCGCCGTGGAGGGTATACATAACATAGCCACACTAAAAAAAAGTTATTTTTATTAGCGTAATGCTTCTTTTCTCACTCATTTTAGTTTATTGTACCGGTTATAAGTAGCAAATAAGAAAATATTAAAAACTCCAAGGGACAATTGTATGTTGTATGTATGTTTTACAAACAGATGTTAAGAAGTCTCTATGCCCTTTTCTGAGCGTGTATGAGTAGCTGAAAGTTTGTTGTGTTCAATGTAAATTTTTGTTAGTTACTCGTTATCTTAAAGGTAACTTTAGTTGCAGAAATATGTTTAATAATAGTAGTGTACGGTTTCTGGGTCATCAGGGGTTCGAAATAATAGAATAATTTTAACTTACTCTATATTTATCACTCGCGTAATACAATAGAATATGAGCGAAATAATAATTATGTTAATTGCTATATAATGAGTGCAATCTAACAAACAGAGAGAGTGCCGACGTCTGGCTATGCTCCCGGGGTGAAACTCCCATGATACAGTTAATTGTAATGATACGAATGACTGCTGTAACAGTCGAAGAGAGTGCCTGCGTCGGGCTATACTCTCGGGGCGTGACTCCGACGATTTAGGAAATCGTCATGCTTATAAGTGATCAAACTGTACAGCCAGGGCACGTACATACATAGGAAATAGTTATGCTTGTAGATGATCGGAATTTACGAGCCTTGGCACGTACATAGGGAATAATCACGATTATAAAACTAAGGAAGCCTGAGTGGGCAAAATGTACAGCCTTGGCTCGTACAAGTAGTTTATGCAACTGTCATATAATAGAGGGTATTAAAACATGAGTGTAGTTTTCAAAATAAGATTACACGAGTGTTTTAATACCTAATTATATACAGTTGCATACACTACTTTATTTAATCTCATGGCTATAGGTACATTAAATAAAATGCAATATGAAAGAAACAAAAGTCTATTATTGGTCTATACTCTATTGGCTCGGAATCAGCGCGTTGCGTGCGCAGCGTGCTCACCACAGATAATGTGTACTTAAATTGAATTGAAACCTCCTTGGTAGGGACACATTGTACTTTAATAATTAAAAATTGTTTTAAAGCATTGTTTTGTTAGGAGAATAATGCTTTAATTTAATGTTTTAATTTTCTTAAATAAGTATGTAAATAAAATATGCCAATAAAAGTCTGTATTTCATTTCATAATTAGAATATTATCGAATGAGATTATATAAAAGTTATTAATTGTTTATTTAGTTGGTGAGTCTATATTAATAAATAAATTATTTGCAGCAAGTGCAGCAGTGAACAGTGGCGTGTCGTCGACATCAGGCAGCAGTGCGGGCGCAGGTGCAGGCGCTGGCTACGCGGGCGGAGCCTTATACGGAGGGGCCTATTACGACGAACAACTCTGCCGGGGCACGCTGCCACATCATATGGTGAGTTTTATACATTGTGACATTTCTCCGAACCATAATTGTATCATTATCTCTTTTTGTTAAGGTGTTTTTTATAACCCACTAAAAGTTTATTAAAAAACAATAGAGAGTGAGATGTAATTAAACTTATTTATTTTTGTAAATAATTGTTAGAAACTAGACATATATTTAGAATGGGGTACCTAGGTAACACTGAAAATGTTTAGAAAATGAAAAACGGCTTTATGTAGAAAGTTGCCAATACTTTTATTGTTTTTCGAAGTAATCTTCGTTCCTCTTCGACTACGACGTACCACGACTACACGTCGTCGCATGCTCGTAAAGCGAATACCTCAAATTTTATCTTTAGTTTTGGGTTCGTAGCAATATATCCAGCTTTCATCACCAGTGACGATGTCAAATACAGCATTTGAGTCACCGCCGTTGAACTTATCTAACATTTGGCGACACCAGTCCATGCGAAGGTGTTTCTGATCGTCGGTTAAAGTATGGGGAATCCATCTGGTACAAAGCTTCCTGACACCTAAATGTGTAATATTTTTTTAACTAGACTCATACCAATGCCTAGGCTTGCCCGCATCTGCTGGTAGGTCACTCTCTTTTCTTCCTCTATCATGCATCGCGCAGCACTGATGTTATCTTCAGTAGTCGCTGTTAAAGGACGTCCCTCACGCGGATCACCATTGAGATTAGCTACGTCCACGCTTTAACGGGTACCAAATTAGAAGAGCTTCAATTGGAATGTCTAAGACATCCTCCGTACTCCCCGGACCTTGCTCCAACAGATTACCATTTTTTTCGAAATTTGGACAACTTCCTCCAAGGGAAAAAATTTAACTCTGATGGGGCAGTCCAAATCGCCTTCACAGATTTTATTGATTCCCGTCCGACTGGTTTTTTTAGTAAAGGGATCAATGAACTACCTATGAGATAGCAAAAGTGCATAGAAAACAATGGTTCATACTTTGATTAATTAAATATATTATATTTAAAAATATTCGACTTTTTGTTCCTCCCATACAAAACGCCAATTTCATATGTAAGGACCTAATATTAAAATGCACTTAAACAATAATATTTTTCAATAAACATTGCATATTAAAAATTATGTTTAGCTTTAACCATAGCTATTGTATCGCAGGGTGGATACTACGAAGTCGGTTATGGCGGTCGGGATGGCAGTACTTTTGGTTTAGGCGCTGCCGAAAGATTCCCAAGAACTGATGCTGCCTCACCACAACAGGTAACAAAATCTTTTAAATATTGTAACTATATCTTAACAAAGACGGAGATTATGTATATTTGATTTCAATAATAGTAATGATAAACCCTTTAAACCATCTTCAAAAACCTAAAGGATTTTTATGAAAACAGACGGAAGAGCTATTCTTCCGTCTGTTTTCTGATGTGCATCGCGGTGTTAAATGAATCAGATTTGCATCGAATATATATTCGATATATAAACATAAAATATTATTTAGAATCTGATTTGTGAACTATGGTTACCTTATATATATGTATTTAAAAAAAAGGGTGCGTGTACTTATGTACGCGCGTAAGAAGTTATACTTCTTTGGCATTATTAAAAATAGTTTTTGATTGCATGCAAATAATTAATTACAATTAAATAATCAAAGACTGGAAAAGGAGTCATTAAAGTCAATAAAGTTCAGTTTACATTTGAAAAATTAATTAAATAAATATTTATTATTATTCTCTTACATTAAACAAATAAAACACTATTTATCTTTAAAACATTTTTATTTCATTATACTATTTATTTTTAAGTGACTCTAATGTCTTCATCAGAATTTCGGTTTGTAATTTTAAATTAATCATTACTTGGTTGTGCATCTACGAGGCTTCTCCAAAACTACTTGCTTTCTGCAACAAATAAGAGAATATTAATTTAAGCTCTGTCCATGCAAAACTTAAAATTTTTTATAATTCATATTATAAATTTTTAACACATTTATATTAATATAATTATATAAATGTGTTAATAATATAATTTGTAGCACATGCTACAGACCTGGATAGCAACTTTCTTTTATTCTATTTAGAGATAGAGATAATTTAAATATAATACCGGTGTCTTCCTTGTAGGTTTCTTTGGAGTTGTTTGGGGATTCTTGTTGTTCAGTTCGACATGATTTTCTTTAACCTTTCTTTAATCCTACAAAATAATGAAATTGTTAAGTTATGTTGTCACTGTTGTGCACACCTTTGTTTGGCTTTTTTAGTATTCAAGTTATGTCAAAACTGATTTATTACCTTGTCATTGTTGGCTTTATTTGCTTTTGGGATATCAATTGTTTCCAAAATGATTTTATTTGTAATAACCTGAAATATATAAATAACATCTATTAATTTAAGTATCATGGTGAGTGGTTCGCACTCAGGTATTAAGGTGTATTATACCCACTGTCCATTATAAGTGGGTATGGGCTCACTTCTGGCAGGACAGAGTTTCGGTACTACAAGTGCAACATGGATGTTTTGAGGTATTACAATATCTCTAACTACCCTGTAGGGGAATAAAGTAATGTTGTAAGCATATGCCTATGCTTGAAAGGTTGAACCTTGAACATCACCATACATCATATTTATAATTAACATTCCTACCTCGACACCATCACAATCAAATTCATTGAAATCTACTTCAAACCATTGTGTCTCGAGAAGGTGATGGTGGCTTTGTTCCACCTCCAGTTTTTGATGTTTCACGGCGATAAGATGACAACTCTTTTTTGTATTCAATTTAGTGCACTTCCACTGATTCATCAATTGTTTTTTGTCTCTTGTCCTTATATTTGCTAGATTAAATCTGATGTTTTGATTAAATAATGTGGTCATTTTTTTGAGATGCAGGTACTTATTAAAATGTTTACTTCTCTGTTATATCGCTCCAAGCCTTCATTTTCTCCTTATTAGTATTCGTGCTTAAATCTTTGTTCTCAATTATTGATATATAGGGTCGTAGAATATTTCTAAAAAGTTGCTGTAACAAACGCAATAAACAAAAGCAATGAATAATGGTTCATGTTTCAGTTTTAATCAACAATAATACTCGATAATACATACGGATAGTTAACCTCAATTGTATTGAAGCACTCAGGAAGGTTAGCACAGTTTTTTCACAAATATTTTATATTATTTCACAAATATTTTGTATAATGAAAATAACTAGGTATATAATTATTAATTTTAAACAATAATTAAAACTCCTATATTTGTTTAAAAGGTAAATGTCATTGTCAGATGTCAATTGTCATGGTCATTCAAAATTCTTGTTAAGCTGCTAAGCTAGAATATGCGTGAAGTTAGCTTCACGCATATTCTATTTCTTTTACTTGTAGTTTGTCTTATTCCCATCTCGCTCGCGCACGCTATATCACACTGCCAATTTTGTGTCATAGGTGCGCGCGCAATCGTAAAATTTCACTCTCATCAATTTTTCATAACGCGCCTAAAGAAGTACAACTTCAATTATGCTAAGGAAAATTATAATCTACAATATAATGATGTATGTACCTTTTACGATAAATTCTACAACATTTATTTACATTAGGTTCCAGCAGCGTTACCGCCAGGTTACGCATACTTCTACCAGCCTCCACCTACAACCTACCAGTATGGAGTCTACCCAACTGTAAGTATAGCTATATTTCAAAATTGAAATAATTGATATACAATTTTAGCAAAATACCCAAAAATTTATATTTTTTAAATACAAAATCATATTGTTATAATTCTATAACACGTCTGGTGAGTAATCCGTTCTCCAATATGCTTAATACGAAGTGGAGAAGTAAAATGTGCGACTTGGCAGATTAATTTTTTTACCACTCTAAAAACTAAATTTGTTTTTGAAAAACATTTGAAATTCCGGGCCTCGGAACAATAATATCAGTTTTAAGATTTAAGTAACTTTAATTATGTAAAGTCAACCCAATTGTACCTGCCACGATTTTTTAATTAAACCGAATTAAAAACCACAAAGGAGGTTATAATTATACGCGTACGTTAAGCCGAAGCTACGTAAGCGGTCTAATAACTTAACAAAAACATTTACAGTACGGAGGTGGATCAAACGTGGGTGGAGTAGGAGGCGTAGGCGGTGTGGGTGGCGTGGGCGTGTCCACGGGCGGCAAAGTGTCAGCTTACTCGCAACAGCAGCAGCCGCCCTACGATGCGCAGGACACCTACAAACCAGGTATACATTTACTATAGTTATTTACACAATTCCACATACTATATTTTATTAATTATAAAATTGTTCTGACATAATTTTTTTTAATCTTTTCTGAAATCTCTCTCCTGGCTTAATAAATTCATTTCGTAATTTTTCTTCAACTGTATTTTACTTGCAGGCGGTCCATACACAGGCAACGCAAACAAGACGGCAGCTGGGGCCAGCGCTGATTTAACTAACGCGATGTACGGCAAGGCGCATGTCACTCTAAACAAGGTCAATGTGAGTATATTTCAATTGTATAACCAAATTGCAAAATATGTTCACTTTTAATAACTTGCGTTTAATAATTTGCAAGGCATCAGTAGCATTAGTAATTTGTATTACAATTATAATAAACCGGTGACGCTACAACCCTATGTGATCTTGGCCTCAGATTGTTTGGTCTCTCTGATAATTTTTATTTTATAGACAAATAGGTTTTGCCTTCTGTCTGTCGTCAATATTTTATTGAGACATGCCGGTTTCCTCGCGATGTTTTATTTCACCGTACGAGTGTTGAATGAGCACATAGAAAGTCCATTGGCACAGCTGGGAATCGAACCTACGACCTCGGGGATGAGAGTCGGCTGCTGAAGCCACTAGGCAACGCTGCTCCATAGTAATTTAAACTTCGCTGCTCCATAGTAATTAAAACACTAAATTTAAATTTAAACTTCATAACCATTATATCGCAAGCAAATTATAAGTCTTGAACTATGAATATGGCATGTTTTTAGCTTTCTTTCACTGTCGTATGTTGCAGATAGATTAAGTGTCAAAAGCACTAACTGCTAAATTTTTTGATAATCCTCGTGATGAATAAGCACTTGCTTACGACAGTATTTTATTTATTTAGGTTTAATCAGAGTTTTCTACATTTATTAATAAGAGTAATTAAAAGTAATACTGTTCTCTATCGTTATTTATTATTCTAACATTAAAATTTTAATGTGTAAAGCTATTATAATATATAAAATATAAGAAATTTAATTGTCGTGTGTTCATTCTCATAAGCTAAATACTTATTTTGTGTTGTTGCTTAATGTTATTTTAAAATCCTTTAAATAACAACTATAATTTAAACATCAATTATCCATATTATGTTTATTGTATACCCAATGATGCGTTTGATATAACTTCTGATAGCTAAAGATTATAGAAACAAAAATTTTAATTTACAAAGAATCATCTATGAATCAGTAGCAGACCGATGATTAGTACGATTTATGGTAGGAGTGGTAACTGGTTTTGGAAATTGAAGTGTTAGCAGAAAATTGCTTTATTAATTTGCTGCAATTTTATAAATACTTTAAAATATATATTTATTTATTATATAAAAATGAAAAAAATGTGTTAATTTTGCGTGGTAAATTTACTTGCGGATGGATGGATTGGGGATGGACCCATTACACACTACGTAGTGATTAATTACGTCGGAAATTCGTAATAAGTTAACGCTTTTCAAAGTTTAAAAAACAAAGTTACATTTATACCCGTATTACAATGTTCAGACATACGAGAAGGCTGGCTTCCACAGCGGTACGCCTCCGCCATTTGGCGCCGCCTCGCATCTCTACATCGCGCCGCCGCACCACCACCCACACCACCATCCGCAACACCAGGTAACGCACACATACACGCCTTGACAGACAATATAGTGGAATGCTAAAATAAATAAATAAACCAAATTTACGCACACGGACAAAAGTACAGGCAGTGGAGATAATGAATTGCATAGATTTACGGTATTGTTCTATATTATCTATAATACACGGGACTAGGAAGACAAATATAAGTTTTGTTGTATACATATGCATGAGCCATCATACATAACCTAACCCGCGAATGTTACCAACATTGCATGACACACACAAACATAACACAGTTAAGGCCAAGTTATATTATCTGTCATCATCATGTTTTTAACTATTTTTGGTCGCGGTTTTGTTAAAGTATTATTCAATTATGGTTTTAAAAACATTTTACTCACACATACACATTTGCATGTAATATAGTGTTTCTTTTTATTTTACAAAAGTTAGCGTTTGCTTTCGTTTGTAGATGGATGTACGGGTGAACAGTAGTCATACTAGGCGGGTAAGTTATCTATTATAATATATGTTTATGTTGGCTCACCTTATATATAACGCTAAACTTTCTGAATGTAAATATCTAAAAAATGTCTAGTATGACACAAATCTCATATACAGATGTTACGTTTTGCGTTATACTTGTTATGGCTTAAACATGATTCATTTTGAGGTTTATCAAACTAATATTTTAAATTTTTCTAAGACTTCAATCAGTTATCAGTTGTTTCCAACTTTTGTTTTGGTCATAACAATATTTGCACTGTGCCATGTTGCTTTATAATGTATGTATTATATTTATGTAAATTGATTGTTACCCGCCTTTTCGTGCATGTAGTACATTTATGTATTGTATATATGTAATAGTTATGTTTTCTCTTCTCTGAAGGCTATAAATGATTTGGTATATGGGTTGATCCTAAAACACAACAGGCATTCAAAATATTATTGTATTAAAAAACAGTCAAAGTGATTAAATTTGCTATTTTTTTGTGTTAATTTTGTCAAATCTTACATATTATCCTATCCTGCTGATAGAGGATAACTCTTTGTTTTTAATTTATGTTATTATTATTAATTACTTAAGATGTCATGTGGAACATGGTTTAATGCTTGCAGCTCCTTACAAACGTTGTGTAAAAAAAAAACAAAAAACATGGCGATTAAAAAGAGTGGCGGAGCGTTTATTGCCAGTTCTTCTCTTCCGTTCTACGCCCTTGATTTGAGAACTGGTACTAAATGTAAAATTAGAAGCATTAATATTATGTATTTCTTTACTGACAAGTCATAAGTGTACAATGTGTTACCTATATGATTAAATGATTTTTGAATTTTTTTGAATCCATAAATAGTGTTCCAGCATTAGTTATTACATATTCCGTGCAGCATTTGTTCCGTGTTTTGCGTATTTAGACTACAACTGCTTAAAATTATAAATGCCTAGGAAGTTTCTAAATGTTTTGATGTGAAACATCTATAGTCGCACGTAAAACCAATTTCTGGCGTGGCGACGCATGCCGTGGCGACGCGTTGCCACGCTATATAATGGTATATATATACAGTCTATATTTCGAAGTCACTGATTAAACGAATTAAATAGTCACGATTTGAAATAAATTCGTAAATTTTTGTATTTAATGAAAATAAATGTTTATTCAATAAATAGTCATCGTTATCTGGAAAAAAATCGTAATATTTTATTTGCCATATTTAGTTCCCATCACAATCTCTTCTTTTCTTCATATTAAATAAATAAATAAAATAATGTCGATATTTCACATCAGTCAGGCGTCCCGTGACGGCTCACATTTTTTTATGTTAAATATACTAATGTTTACTATTGATATCTGTTAATGTATCAAGACTTTTCAGGATTTATCAGAGATATCATTAGATTTGATGTCATCTCTGCACTACTTACAGTAATGCATTAGGCACATACCTCTTTATAAAAGCCTCGAGCCTTGTTCTGAGAACTTCAAGACTCCATGTGAATATATAAATGTATTTTATAGGAGAGCGGCGCTGGAGGTCGCGCAGCGGGAGGTAAAACAGCCGGAAGTAAGCCAACATACTCGCAATCCTACTGGGCGCCCAACTAGACCATGCGGTATTAAACTTTTTTTTTACATGCTTGGATTTAAAGGTGTTAATTTTAACATAGATTTATTTTTATTTTAAAGATATGCAAAGGAAATAATTTTTTGCAAAATATTTATAAATTTTGATAGTTCTAAAATATTGATTAATGTCTCTCTCTCTGTTTCCAGGCGTTAACCAACGGTCATTCGACACATGTACATAGGGCGCCAGCCATACATTCAGTCAATTGACACAACGCGTTCAGTTACACTTGTGTTCGCGTAACATTCGCGTACTCTCAAATACACATGTGTTTTACGAACACGCGGCCTTTTTTACTTGTCAAAAATTTTCGATTTTATTCCGCGTTTTTTTAATTATTTCAAGTGTTTGAACTAAAGGTCTATCATCTAGCGTTAGCCGTCTTCGTAAAACTACTTGTTTTCTATATATTTTACGCTTGTGCGTTTTTAAGTTGTTTTTTTATGCGTTCGCGGACAGACCAGCGCGCGGTAGTATTTAGAATAATTTTATTTCATCATGTTGTAAATTGTACGTTGTGATTAATTCGGCACGCCGCAGTGTGTAAGATATTGTCTGTTCGTGAATGCTGTTTTGGTAATGTTCCGCTTTCGCTCGTTTGCGCGATATCTGCTTACGCGTGATACAAGTGTTGTCGCGTGGGTCCATTTGTAACGTAACAGATGCCTTCGTGTATTAAACTGTATAACTGATATTGTAAAATAAATATGAAAGGAAATTGAATGAAAAATGCTATGTAATTAAAAATTGTTTTTTTTTCGTTAAAAATTCCTAGTGTATTAGTTAGCGTCGGAGCGTTGCGTTTATTATCCTATATAAGCGTTGAAACGCGAGATTAGATTAGGTTTAGTGTTTAATTTCTGATTTTCGTGGTGTTACGCACTGCGACGCGACGCGACGGCGCGATTCTCATTTACGCTAAGTCTGCTCCCATAGGTTACAATTTTGTTTAATAAATTAACGGTAGTGCTATGTATATGTTATCTCTATAAAATATGTATATGTGTAAGAGTTTGGTGCGCTATGCGCGCCGAATATTTTGTATTTAGTTGACAGACTTTTTGTAATTACATATAATAATAATTGTATTAAAAAAGTAAAGTGTCGTAGGTGATTAATTATTGTAATGTAACATTACCGTAAAATAGTCGAGGTCTTTTTTATTGTGAAGAATGCTGTTGATCTCGTGGGCATTTGAGTGTGAGGGAAATACACATATTGGAACAACATCACTCACTTTTATTAAGGACCCAATGGTTAGGATTCTATATCTGCTACACTAGAGCATAATAGCAAAATGACATTCAAAGATTTAATGGTTCAAGTGCGCATTTTTGCTTAAATATGATTTAATATATTATGTTGAAACAGATTACATTATGAAGAAGGTTTTGAGGTTGCAATGGCCAAAACTGACAGGCATATATGTCAGTTAGGATGTATTTGAATAAAACCTAATAATTAATGCAACAAATTTAATAACAATAAAGTACAATAAAAAAATATATCCCTTAACATTATTGTGCTTAAATCATTTCCGTAGTTATACTTGGCCCGATACATCACAATTATCACATATTTAGATTTATAATAAAATTATGTAAAAAATTATGCTATAATGCATTCATGTTATTTATAAATTCAATGCAAAATGTCCCTGTTCAGTTTACTAAAAAAATGCAATTTAGTCACTTCAGTTAACAAAAAGTTCCCATAATTAAAGTCCTATTAGGTTATAGGTCTATATTCTATATATTTTCTTTGTCTTATTTAAAACTTAAAGATCGGAATTCCACAGTTAAAAAATTATTTCTTTCATAGTTATAAATATTTTGCGGCTGCGGCATCAACTATCCAATATACAGAACCATGGATTGGTTTTACTCTTGCAGCAGGTAAGTCATCTTTATCTTTAAGAATTTTCTGAAAACATGAATAGAAGTTTTAAAAAAATTCATTGATATAATAAATTAAAAATATTTTAAATAAATATAACGAAAGTGTGTGTTTAAAAAACCTAAACTAAATTAAATACTACACATAAAATACTTAGTTTGAACTAAACAGTATACAAAATGTTAACTTTTGATACATGTTTATATCTAACCTTGATCATTTCCGCTTTTCCAGCTCCACTGGCAGCAAATATGCAATTTCTAGCATTGTTTATGATAGGGTAAGTCAGAGTAATCCTTTCAGGAGGAGGTTTTGGAGAATCAGTTATTGCAGCAACTTTCAGATTACTTTCTTCCAATAAAGGATGGTTAGGGAATAATGAACATGTGTGACCATCTGGGCCCATGCCAAGTAATAGGAGATCAAATATAAATTCATCACCTCCAAATGCATCTGTTAACTTTTGAGTATAATCCCTTGCGGCTTCATTAGCTAAAAATACCTTAATTACAGATGTTGGTACATATTACTTATTGTCGAAAATTGTGTGTATGATAAAAGCATAATTAAGTATATTTATTCTGTTTACAATAAAAGATTTCAGTTTAACAACTTACCACTAACTCCTTGTTTAATAGTAATAAATTGTTTTTTATCCAGTGATGTCTTTGGTATTAGTTGTCTGCTATATACTCCAAATGTAGAATCCTCACTATCTTCTGGCACAATTCTTTCATCACAGAATGCTAGCACCCATTTAGACCAGTCTGTATTAACTTTTGGTAGTCCTTCGCTTAAATACTTAACCACTGAACCACCTGTAGTTTATGGTAATAATTGCTGTTAAATGTTAATAATAACAATTTAAGAAATAGCTCAGTTACCTGTAATAATTATACCAGGGTTACATTTTCAGCTAATCATTGCCGAGAAATTCGAGAAAGAAATAGTGAAACAGAAAAGTGTATTCTCTCTACAAGATACCCAACAGAGGTCTATAATATATTTTAGATATATTATAATAACAACACCGCCGGTTATTGTTTTCAAAGTATTTGATCTATATTATGAAAATTAGTAAATTTACCTGATAAACCGATATAAAATTTTCCGCGATTGTGAATAGCATCGTTAGAAATTTTTTCTATGTAAGAAGATAACTTCTTGATTATATCTTGTTCATTTGCTACAGTTATTGTAGTCATATTTAAAAATTACAGGATTATTTATCCAAACGATTTCTACAAAACTCAAATGATTATTACTTTGAAGGTTATTTCAAATTAAAGGTTATTTTCAATTACTTATCACAGCAAAATATTGTCAGTGGGCACCAGTGTTGCCAACTTAATTTTAACGAACCCACCAATTTTGCCGTCGCAACCCACCAGAAAACCACTAAAATCCACACTAACTAATAAAATAAATGTAAGTGTGTTTGTTTATTTATCCTTTTTTCACGCCGAAGGGAAATATAGGATCGATGTGATTTTTATGTCCGCAGATAGGAGGGGGTTAGGCAAGCAGCCGGCGAGCACTATTTTTTTGTTTTTACCGCGGGAAACACATGTTTTACTGAAGTAAACAGTAGTCTATGGACTATGTCACTCTTTACTTTAGATGGATAGCATACAGCTAGGATATATTTTTTGACAATAAAAGAACAATATTGTAAATTGAATTATAAAATTCGTTTATTTTCATTACAAAGAAACTTATAGAAGACATACAAAATCGTTAAAAATCATCTTCAGCAGAGTCGGATTCCTCTGCACCTTATGATTTTAAGTACATTTCTTTCGTTCCTATTTTCTGGACTACATAATTTGGCAAGATGTAATTATTGCAACACTTTCCTTCGCGTTTTAAACCTGCGCGGATTGTCATAATAGATGACAGTAGATCTAGCTTCATTCGGTTTCTGTGTTTTGTCTTCACGATATTCATAATGCTGAATAATCGCTCTACGCATTAGAGTGCGGTAAAACTAATAAAGATATAGCAAACGTGGCTAAATCTTCAAATCGGTTTTCTCCTGCAATGTCTTCGAAATCCAGCACCTCGTACCAAAATTCCACCAGCTGTACTTTCCACCACTTCCAGCCAGTCCTTTAATTGGGAGTCCCGTAACCAACAATCCCGGAACTTTTGCGTATATTGCGGTTTTGGCATTTTGTTTTAAAAATAAACTAAACATTTGCAAACAAACAAGGTCGCTCCGATGCATAGCATAACCAAAACTACTAAGTATCTGTGTTGTGTATTTCTATTTTTGTGCATGCATACGAAACGAACACATACAAATCTCATTAATTCAAATCAAATTTGACCCATTAGTCATACGAATAAAGCCCATAATCAAAATAATTTAAGAAATTGATAAACTTGTTTCGGAAAATTCCCGAAAATAACGAACGTAATTTTACAGAGTTGCCTACATAATGACAAAATATTCCTTGATAAGGTAAACGTTTTCGTCTTTTCCTGTAAAGATATCACTCGTGCTAGTGGTTAAATGTCGTAGCATACCACTGAATGAAACAAACTAAACCACTAGAAAAATCCACTAGCCACTAAAACCAAAATTCGCCCGCTAAAACGTATATCTAAACCACCAGATCTAGTGGAATATCCACTAAGTTGGCAACACTGGTGGGCACGTCACAGGCCACAGCCCTAGAGCACAGTCACAGATATACAAATACACACCGGTGACACTGCACAGTGCACAGTCTAGGAAAAGTTTCAACGGTTAAGTACAAGTACATGTTCCAGATAATAGTCTAATTGGAGAACAAACTGCAACTATCTACTTACAAATCAACGAACAGGATAAGTTATGTTGAATATATTATTTAAACGTTTACATTCGGCGTTTGTTAACAATTATGTCGATTGCCATGCTTGTTTCAATTGTACTTTTCACTTCGGTAATATCTAGATGGCGCGATTTTAAATATATCAAAGGCAGTCGCGGCTTGGAAAAACTGAAATTTTTCTTTTCTCTTTTTATTTTTCTTTTCTTTTATTTTTTTAAACGGCTATAAAATATAACAAGCATCTACAGATGATAACTTACGAGAATTATACGGTTCTTGATGCGGAAATTTTAAGGAATGCTTTAAAACTAAAACTGTCAAACTGCCAGGATTTACTAAACATACCAGTGTTACAATGAAAAAAAATCGTTTTCATGGACCATCTAGGAGAATACAACAAAACCGATATTTGTCAGAAGTGGGATTCGAACCCACGCCCACAGAAGTGGACTGCGACCTGAACGCAGCGCCTTAGACCGCTCGGCCATCCTGACTTGCAAGATATCAATGAAATTAATTTTCTATACATTCAGAGATCTATAAATACCACATTATTTATTACAATTAAAAACTCCAAATTAAACTAACAATGAACATTAAAATAAAAACTAAATAAAACCGTTGCGTTTTCTACAACCAGTTTTAGATAATCTTAGAAAGTAAACTATATTTCCTAACTAAACTAAGTAAATTTATTCGTGTTTCATTAACTTGAATTTACAGGAAATGTTTTAAAATAAAACTAGTAGAAAATAATTATTTTAATAGTCTTGCTAGTACTTATCACAGCTTACATTATCTCATACGCATCACTAGATGTCACTACACATTTAAATAATGTATAGTGAAAGTATAAACCGATCGTAGCGGTTGTTGACCGTCAAACTATTTGCGTATGATGTAACTAGTGTAATATTAATAATGTTAAACTTTTACAAGATACGATAAGATTTTTTTATCCTATTATACCTCTAAATTAAACTTCTTTAACGGATATAAAGCGATTTTATTACATTATTTACATAATTTTATTTTAATATGTAGTTCTCGCGTAAACCAAAGACAATAATTTATTACGATTAAACATCTTCAGCAAGCTGTAAGAAATACCAAGATAGCATTTTTTTTTAAATTTTATTTCGATATTTGTGTATAATATACAGTATAGAGCGTGATACATTTAATTTCACGAAGCGTAAAGAAAACTCCTACTTGCAGGTAGTAGATATTAAACGATGAACCGAGCCCCATATAGTAGTTTATCATATTAATATTTAATATTATTTTATTAACGTACATTGCACATAGCATGATAATTTTACAAAAATATTACGTCTTAGTAAACTGTTCCCGATCGGGCGTGTCGCTGTATAGTACAGGATCCCGCCGTTTGATTCTGCATCTATCTATTTTTTTAATGAAATGAATGTTACCTATTCCAGGTTGCCAAAAAAATAGCCTCAATTAGCTGTAAAACAATTTTGTTTAATCAATTTGTTGATATAAATTGCAACTACATATATGTTTTTTAATCAATATCGGGTCATTTTAAAGGAAATGATGTAAATATATAAAAAAAATTGTTGTCAGTCACTCTCAGCCGCAACGTTAGGGTTGCCAGGTGGTAATAGGTAATATGGATCTTAGTCCATTATAGTTAATAAGCGAACTCTTTTAAATCACCCAACTTAAAACAAATATGTACTTATTATTGTATACTGTATATATTAACATAATTGTGGTCACTTTCGTACTACATAGTTTGTATAAATACATATTATTCACGGCTTCTTAATTCTAAAAGTTCAAGGGTAAATAAGATTTATTAGGAAATGATTATAGCTATTAAAGTATCTGAACATCTGAGATCGATTTATTGATATTAAAAAATGATTATACGAATTCAATAGGCTTGTATGAATTAGATTGGTCTTAAAATAAGTTTTTGAAGTGTTAATAAGTCATGAGATTCAGATAGGCCAGAAACTGATCATATTACTCAGTATTACCCACATTTGAATTCTTTGCTTTAAGAAAGTCAAAATTATGAACCTCAGTAAAACTAATTTGAGCCGTAAAGGCGGACAGGGCCTACTCTTCATCAAGATGTATTTTAACGTTAACGAATTCTGGTCTTATAATATATCAAACAGCTGCTCATGGATATATTTCCGACCTAATTAAACTTTGAGATCTTCAAGACAAGAATGATTTTTTTAATTTTTTCACTGAGTTTCCATGGGTGTCATAACATCACTTAACATCACACGAGCTTCCCGGACGTCTATTCCCTGTTACATATAATATGAAAAAAGGCCCATCTTGGCTTGATAAACATACAGTGCTTTCAAATTAATCTGGGTATTTTACGCGTATATATATATATCTATTTTGTTTATCAAAATGGCGTACCTTATTTGCAAACTATAAGACTATGTGGTTAAAACGGAGAGCTCTTATCTATAAGAAGATAAGAATTGTTCCATATAAACGCTGTTTAAACATCAAATTAGATACTTTATGTGTGGGCATTATACTACTAATTTCCTATAATACAGAAAGCACTCATATTATGTAGGTCAAGTGTAGCAGGCTCACATGTAAGGTTATATGAGTTAATGTGACAGGACTGGTTCGTTTTTTGCAACTAGTTAATTGTTCATAAGGCTGCACAACAAAGTGTTAAGAAAATCGCATTAAGCTACTGCAACGTGGAATGGAATGGAAAATAACGATTAGTATTACAGTACAAGAACAGCAACGAGAGGTAAAATGTTATACAGAAAACGTACAATATTACTATAAGTCCATCATCATGGCTTAGTTGTTAGCACATATTAGTTTGTCAGGCAGAAGGTATGAGAAAATTATCAAGTCTAACAACTAACATAACAGATGTCAGACATAGCTCTTTATTATTAAATATTTTATATATAAATTAGTGATATGACTCTAAGAGCTAACGATAAAATTATGTTATTATTTGTAGCAGTAATAGGTGGCAACTGGCAGCTAGCGCTAATGCCTGTCAGTAATGAAAAAGCTACAAATATCAAAGCTACTGAGAGGTCACCTGATCCTGAGGTCGGAACGAGGCACTTGTTGCGACCTCGGCTGTAGCCCGCGGGCGTATGTGATAAATCGTTTATGGAAAAATTCTTATACGTAAACTATTTAATTATTAAATTATTTTCAGCTATTTTTTTCCACTTTGGCAACCTCCATCGCGGGTGCGTCAGCTGTTCGATTAATAGTTATATAAGATCTATTGAAAATAATGGCAATCAATCGGAGTAAATGTAGTACGAACCCGCACTATTTTGGCAGCTTTCTTTAAAAAAATTTGCAGTATCAAATATAGTCAAAAACCATTTGTCTCGGATGGC